TGTACAGGAAGATGCTCCAACCAATTGAGCCACCTGGCCAGGGCTCTTCCTTTTGTAACTTTATATTTTTTCAAATTTTCTTTTCTTGCTTATAGCACTGGCTAGCATCTTCATTAAAATACTGAATAAAAGTGGGTAGAGAAATTATACTAAACTTCTTTTCTGTCTATCTTGGGGGGGGGGGAAGCAGTCATTATTACACTATTAAGTATAATACTATCAGAAGTACCTATACAGATGAGTTTTATTGGTTTGAGGAAGTTCCCTTTTTTTCCCTTGTTTGCTGAGAGTTAAAAAAATGTCATATGCTTTTTGCCACCTGTACTTATTGAAATGATCATATGGTTTTCCCCCTTTATTCTGTCATATGGTGAATTAAATTAATTGTTTTTTTATTGTTAAGCCAATCTTGCATTCTCGGGATAAATCCCACTTGTTCTTGATGCACTGTAGATTTTATTTTTTAATTACATTTTATTGATTATGCTATTACAGTTGTCCCAATTTTCCCCCTTTCCCCCCCTCCAGCCAGCATACCACACTCCCTCAGGCAAGCCCCACACCATTGTTTATGTCCATGGGTCATATATAGGTCCTTTGGCTATTCCATTTCTTATACTATATTTTACAACTCTTTGGATATTCTGTATTTACCTATCTGTACTTCTCTCTTTTTAAAGATTTTATATATATATATATATATATATATATATATATATATACACACACACATATATATATATATATATATTATATTTTTTAGAGAGGGGAAGGGAGGGAGAAAGAGAGGGAGAGAAACTTTAGTGTGTGGTTGTCTCTCGAGCACCCCCTACTGGGGATCTGGCCCACAACCTAGGCATGTGCACTGATTGGGAATCTAACTGGCAGCCCTTTGGTTCGCAGGCTGGCAATCAATCCACTGAGCCACACCAGCCAGGGTCCTGTTTGTACTTCTTAATCCCTTTACCTCTTTATCCATTTCCCCACATTGCCCTCCCATCTGGGAACCATTTCAACTGTTGATAGATACGTATTTTTTTTTTTTTTTTGCCATTTTATTGTTCATAGTTTTGATCATCTTCTTAAATAAGTTCCCTTATTATATACTTCATATAATAATGGTTTGGTGATGATAAACTCCTTTAGTTTTTTCTTGTCTGGGAAGCTCTTTATCTGCCCTTTGATTCTAAATAATACTTTTGCTGGGTAGAGATATCTTGGCTGTAGGTCCCTGCTTTTCATGACTTTGAATATCTCTTGCCAATCCCTTCTAGCCTGTAAAGTTCCCTTTGAGAAATCAGCTGACAGTCTTATGGGAACTCCCCTGTAGGTAACTAACCTCTTTTTTCTTGCTGCTTTTAAGATTCTCTCTTTATCTTTAACATTTAGCATTTTAATTATGATGTGTCTTGGAGTGGACCTCTTTGCATCCATCTTGTTTGGGACTCTGTGCTTCCTGGACTTGCATGTCTATTTCCTTCACCAAATTAGGGCAGTTTTCTTTCATTATTTTTTCAAATAGATTTCCAATTCCTTGCTCTTTCTCGTCTCCTTCTGGCACCCCTATGATGGGAATGTTGGACCTCTTGAAGTTGTCCCAGAGGCCACTTATACTATCCTCAATTTTTTGCATTCTTTTTTCTTTTTGTTTTTCTGGTTGGCTGGTTTTTGCTTCCTTATGTTCCAAATCATTGATTTGATTCTCGGCTTCATCCACTTTAATGTTGTTTCCCTGTAAATTGTTCTTTATTTCAATTAATGTATCTTTTGTTTCTAATTGGATCTTTTTTATGCTGTTGAGGTCCTCACTAAATTTCTTGGGCATCCTTATAATCAGTGATATGAACTCTATATCTGAAAGATCAATTATCTCCATTTTGTTCAGCTCTTTTTCTGGAGTTTTATTCTGTTTTTTCATTTGAGCCATGTTTCTTTGTCTCTTTGTTTTGGCAGCCTCCCTGTGGTTGTTTCTATGTACTAGGTAGAGCTGTTTTGACTCTGTGTCTTGGTAGTGTGGCCTAATGTTTGTAGGTGTCCTCTAGGGTCCAGTGGCACAGCCTCCCCGTCACCCAACCTGGGTACTTGATGCACACCCTTCATGTGGTCTGCGTACACTCTCCTCTTGTAGTTGAGCCTTGGTTGCTGTTGGCAGATCAATTGGAGGGATTTTCCCAGGCCAGTCAGCTGCAAGGACTGGCTGTGACCACTTACCACCAACCTCTGCCCTCCATGGAGGATCACCTATGCAGGGGCAGGGTGGTGGTGGTCTGTGGCTGTCCACTGGGTGTGCTGGCCCTGGGGTTTTCTGAGTGGTGGAGGCCAAGGTCAACCCCTATCAGCATTTTTCCGCTCTGCCTGAGCTATAAAGCAATTGGAGATGGCTGCTACTTGTGCCGGGCATGGAAATTCCTGGGCAAAGCCAAGCTGTGGATCTAGGCTAGCTGCTGCTCATGCTAGGCCTGGGGCTCACTGAGGCCAGCTGTTGCTTGTTTGAGAGGATTTAGGAAGTTTTGAAGCGTGAGCCAAGACCAGCCATTCATATGGAAAAGCAGCGTGGGTGGGCCAGTTACCTGGGAGGGGCAGAGTCTTTGGGGATCTCCAAGGCTGGTCAAAGAGTGTTAGCTAGGTTAATGGAATCTCAGATATGGCACCAGCCCCTGTAGATTCTGTTGGGGGAGGATTTAGAAAGGGTCAATGGCTTCTGCTTGCCTTGATGCCAAACACTTCACTTTTAAGAGGCTACGGTGGTGGTGCTTGAGCTCAAAGGGAGTGAGTCTGAGTAGGTGTGTCTGTGTGTGGGTTCTTCAAGTGGAACTGCATGGGGTTCCAGAAGTTTCTTCTACCAACTCAATCCCCACTGGTTTTTGCAGCCAGAATTTGTGGGGGCTTATCTTCCTGGCTCTGGACCCCTGGGCTGGGGCACCTCTTGTGGGGCAGGGACTCCTTGCTCCCAAGATATGCCTCCTGAGTGTTAATCCACCACACATGGGTGAAGGACCAGCCCGTTTCGAGTCTGCACCACCCCACCACCATCACCAGTCTGGGTGGGTGTGGTTTCTTTAATTCCAAGTTGTCAGACTTCCATTCAACTCAATTTCTGATGATTGTGACGGTTGTTCTGTATTTTAGTTGTAATTCTGATGTTGTTGTGCAAGGAGGTGAGCCATATCTGCCTGTGCCACCACCATCTTGACTGGAAGTCCCTCGCATTATAGAGTTTATATATTGCTCGGTTTGATTTGCTGCTATTTTTATACAGTTTTTTGCACCTGTATAAATGAGGTTAATTAGTATATGATTTTCTTTTCCTGATATGTCTTTGTCATAGTTAGGTGTCAAAGTTATCCTAGAATTATGAAATATTTGGAAAGTTTATTTTTTCTCTATTTTCTGAAATACTGCATATAAGATTAGTATTGTTTCTTCCCTAATTCACCAGTGAAAATATATGGGTCAGTAGCTGGTTTCTTTCAAGCTTTTCCCCATATCTCTGAGTTTCAGCAACTTGACCATGATGTGTCTAAGTGTGGTTTTTCTTGTTTTTATTTTGTTGGTGCTTTCCTGAGCTTCTTGGATCTATAAGTTAAAATTCTTAGCCAAATTTGAAAATCGTTGACCATTATTTCTTCAGATATTTTATCTGCCCAATTCCACCCTTTCCCCTCTCTGCAATTCCAATTGCATATACGGTAGACGGCTGGCAATTGTCCCACATGTCCCTGCAGCTCTCTTTATTTTTTACGTCTTTTTTCTCCTTAGATTTGAGGGAAATTCACACACAGATTTACAGCCTTTCTTCTATATGGCTTTCTCCATTCTGGAATATCTCCCTTCCATTTCCAGTTGTTACGGTAGCCCCAAACAGGTTCCTTTCACACCTGAACCCATTAAGAACGAGGCTTTCTGCTGGGTTTTCAGCCACTTCTGCTACATTGACTAGGAAGCACCCTTAGGGGAAAGACTGTATAAACTTGGAATACCTTTCAGTGTTTGCCTGCTTTTCATTGCTGTGCAACATTCTCTAGTAATTAATTTGTTTTACTCTTGTTCAGAGTTTAAAATTGTTATCTGTGGGAGGGTTAGTATGCTATAATTTGTTCCATCATTATTGGAAGTGGAATCCTGTATTGTGAAGGTTAGTCAATTTACTCAACATCCACCTTGTCACCACATTTAAAGACCCTAGTGTTCCCAACCCAAAAAAATCCAGTCAATAGGTCATAATAATCCTATCCAGGTATGCTTCTTGAATTCATTGACATCTAACTTCCTTAGAGCTACTGCTTTAGATTTAACTGGTTTTACATGCCCCAGTCACTTCCCATATTACTTGAGGTATCTTCCTAAAAAACATTGCTTATCATGTCTCTCACTTGTTTCAAGGCCTCTTTAGGCTTCTGCAGGATTAAATCCATTGGCTTGGTCTATAAAATCACTCATAATCCAATCTATATCCTGCTATTGCTCCATATAGAACCTGTGCTCCTGATATAGTAAGCCTTTCTATGTTCTTCGGAAGTATAAGAACTTTCCACATTTTTGTTCTTTTGTACTTTGTATCCTGCCTTCTTGGGCTATTTATTTGCGTTTGGCTTTTCTAGATTTATTCTTAAAATTTGATTTAAATATCACCTCTTCTGGAAGGTCTTTCCTGAATAGGTTATTTCTGTCCTCAACATCTCTCTTCTGTATTCCTATAGTACCTACAAATTTGAGTGTTGAGTTGGTTGGTCTGTCTATCTATCATCTACATAGTCTCTTGTTTCCCTAGGTTAATTCTAATCTTCTTGGTCAAGGTGTCATGTCTTTCAAATATAGTTTATTATTATCTATAACAATCTAGTTAGTATTCTCTAGCCCGTGTGATATTACAAAGTATATATCTCAGCAGTGCTATTTAAAGTAATGATTTCATATACAGAAATTAAAGGCCATAGACCCAAAAGGAGAAATTAATTAGCCAGTTCATATATCATTCTGTTATTTGTTTATTTTTTTAGGACTATATGCTCCCCCATCAAGCATTCCTACAGGGTTCTGTAGGAATGGTGGAACCTGGGCAAATGGCAGGTGTGTTTGTCTGGAAGAGTGGAAAGGATTGAGATGTACAATGGGTAAGTTTCTTGGGATGATACTAGGGAGTGAATTTTAGGTGACCCTTGTGTTAACAAGGACAGCAAAAAAGCTTCTTGAAGTTTCTGTTAATGATTATAGTAGCAAGGGGTATAATAATGATGGCTTTTGTATTTATTAGCTCAATAGCTGAGTTTTGGTGCTATTTACCTGTATGCTTAATACACCTGTCTCTTTCCCAACTATCAAGTTTCTCTGTAAACTTGCTGTTGCTCTCCCTTCTAGATGCAGTATCTAATACAGAGTAATGGGTGATACGGTTTTCTCAGGTCCTTTCGACTGGTGATAAGCTATATCACACCATTTCAATTCTAACACATTTACTATCTGTCACAATTCTAACACATTTAACTTTTCTGATATCAAGATGCAACTTTCTCTTTCAGTATGTACTTGGATGAAGTTTTTGTCTTTTTTTCCTTTCTCTTGAAGAGAAGTTATTAATTTAGTGGTTTTACTTTGATCAATGGTATCTCAGAATCAAAGTTCAAAATCACTTGTTGACCTGCAGTGTGCTTCTCAATACTCTGCACACTTCACACTGCCTGTTTAGGATCCAGGGTTCTAGAAGCACACTCCTACCATGCCCTATATTCCTACCAGCCAGCATATTCCACACTCCTGTGACTTTGGCCTTTTTTTCCTTGACCTACATCCTCATGATGCTCTTTGACACTACAGGCTCTGGCTTTTCAAGATTTCATCTAATTTGACACACTACTCTTGATGATGTGTTAGTGATCACATCCCACCTCTACCAAATATTATGCACATTTAAAAATTTTTTTAAAATTTATTTTTAGAGAGGGGAAGGGAAGGAGAAAGACAGGGAGAGAAATACCAATGTGAGAGAGAAACATAGACCAGCTGTCCTTCGTTCGTGCCTTGACTGGGGACCAAAATGTAACCCAGCCATGTGTCCTGACCGGAATCGAACCAGTGACCTTTTATTTTGCAGACGAACACCCAACCAACTGAGTCACACTGGTCAGGGTTATATTATGCACATTAACCTGGAACCTGTTATCTAACATTCTAGTTATTCTAATGGTAGTAACTTAACCAGATAAGAAAGTATGAAGTTCCTGGTGGACAAGTGAATCCTATAAGCTTTCTATTACCCTTGAAATTATACTGTATAGGTTTTGAACTTTAACTTTTATTTGGTTTGAAATTTAAAAAAGAAGAGTATAATTTAAAATGAATTTTTTTCTTTTTATTTTAGCAAATTTCTGTGAAAACAGTACCTATGCCAATTTTAGTTTTGGCCGAATTCCAGTGGGAAGATATGGCTCTTCCTTTGAAACATGTGAAAAGAACACTGTAAATGGTATGTGCTTTTCTAAACATCACCCCTGTTTAAGTATATAAATCACTATACTGGGTCATATATATCATTCTCCCAACTAGTATTAGATCCCCGGAAGAGGCATCAACAAAAGCTTTGTAGAAAGGTTTGATGTCAATGTTCAAAATTTAGAGTGTTACCTCACATAATTCTAAATTTCCGGAAACCCTTAATATGGATCAGTTGTAAATTCCTTTTACTACTTCTTCAATTGTTTTATTTTTTCCCCACTTACTCTATCTCCTGGAGTTTGATCAGGTTAACGCCTACTTTTTCAGTTATATAATTTGCCTTATTTAAAAAAATTAGCTATAATATTGATTTATATCATATCTATTTTCAGACTTCATCTTTCTAGGTAGAGATGCACAGGTAAGTCTGTCCACAGCTGGGAGTCCTTCATCTCTTTGGTCATTTTAGTCATCCACCTTGGACCATTCTCTGGCTTCAAGTGAATGAAGCCATTCTCTGGCCTTAGTGAAGCATCATAACCTTGTTTGCATTGAGGTATTGCAAAAATAAAGGAATAAATAATATTTCTAATATGCTCCCTGATAGTATCTAGGATTTCGATGACTTATTTGATTTCAGTGGCACATTGGGCAATATCTTTGGAGAGTAGCCTGTAGAAATTCATAGATTCCTTTCCTAACAACTTAGAGCCCATTAAGCCAATGATTATCCCTTTGTTTGCATTGACTCTCATCTGACCAATCCTCCTACCTCTCACATCTTCCTGCAGGTTATGATCCATTTTAGTTAGAACTGGATACCTCAATAATGTAGCCAATTCTAGATCATTTGTGAAAATGTTTGATAGAACTTCTGTCAGTAATGACTCTGGGCAAAATTTCACATTTCATTTAGATATTTATTTTTGTGTATATCAAGGGCTTTTTGGAGCACTAAAGAAATTTCATGTACTGCTCTTTCCTATGTGCTTTTTTACCTTATTAACTCCAAGAAATTATGCAGATTAGCATCTCATTTACAGATTCCAAATTGCCCCTGCCCACATGCAGGGTGAGGCAAAAGTAGGTTCACAGTTATGAGTACATGAAGCAGAGTTTATTCTTGTATTATTATTTATTAATTATTGTATTATTTTCCATATAAACAGTTGTAAACCTACTTTTGCCCCATCCTGTATATCATTGTTACTCAAGTATTCATGATACTACTCTTCTCATAGGTACCATATTTTCAACTTCTTGATTAAAAGCTCAGAGGTAAAAGGGGGACTTCAACTGTATTGAAACTCCTCATTCTGTATGATATGTCCATGGATACTTATTATCTTAATTTTATATGTTTTTATGCCTAAGCATTTCCTAATAATTTAGAAAACAGAAAACTGTATGCTATTAATCAGGAAGAATAAAAATTTTAGTAATATGCCCATCAAGGGATAAACCCCTTGCTTGGTATATATTACTTTTTTGGGACAAGAGAATCAGTATCTTTCAATTGGTTAATTATTTTATTTTCTGAGCAACTATTATGAAAATGTTTGTGTTGCAACCTTTCAAGGCCGGACAAGTTCTGGGATTTGGGCTGACGGAAGAAAATTCACGGAATCATTGGGATGTCTGATAGGCCTTTATTCTGGGGTGGGGTGATCCGCGCATGCCATAAGACACGTGTTGCGCCAGCAGGGAGTCCGAACTCTCTTATATACTAAATGCATACAAAGCCAGCAGGGTGCCAAGATATTGTAAAACAGAGTGTGATTGTGCGCATACGAACCCAGTCTGAAGGCTGTGGGAATGCTGCTAAGTTGCCCAGACATTTGGGTGAGTGAGCCTGACTGACTCCGTTTACCCTACAATGTTATTATACATACCTTTGAATTTCAGATTGAGCCTATAATTTTAAAATCATACATTCCAACTATTGGCAAATTTGCTTTTAGTTTTATATAAAGTGTTACTTCTAATCATTCAATTTTGTATAGCAAATGAGCAAAATACTTTTTAATGATTTTGAGTGGGTAGATATGCAGGAAAAAATGCATTGGTCATATGGCTACTTAAAATTCTATGTTTGAAATTTTTATTATGTCATAGTGGAGAGGTGGAGCCATCATACAGGTTAAGAGTGACTTTAACCTCCTACTTTAATCGTCATAGAAGCAATCTCTAATTTCGGCATTCCTAGTTGTTTCCCAAGAAGCAGCTGCCCAAAGCTGGTCCTGAGGAAAGTTTAATCTTCTAATCAGCTAGCCCTCTACTGACAGCTGGAGGTGATTTTATCTATTAACAGCCTCTTAAGTATTAGCCATAGAAGGACACCAAGGTAAGGATGCTGAGATGATAATCCTAGGGAATAAATCCAATGATTGAACAAGTATTTATTGAGAGCCAACCAAATACCTAATAGATGCTGCAATACAACAGAACTCTGCCTTTCAGGTATTATCCAGATTTGGAAAAAGAAGGAAAGATCAACCTATTCAATATCTAGTAGGGATTTTCATACTGTTTCTATTCTCTCAGCCTTGTATTTCCTCATCACATTCAATTTAAAGCTCTGCCCCTCATTGTTGGAAGACAAATCTTCCTTGCGGACTTCAAAGGAAAGGAATAGTCAATGGGGCTTTTGAATCCCAGATTGAAAAATCAAGACAAGTAGTATCTCCCTAAAATATTGTTATAGTAACTGTCTGATTCACTTTTCCACTGCTGTGTATCAAACCACCCCAAATTTAATAGCTTAAAACTAATGATTTAGATTTTTTAGTTTTGTGGGTTGACTGTGGCAGCTGGACTTGGCAGCTGGACTTGGCAGCTGGAAGGTCTAAGACAACCTCACTCACATGGGCCATCTGTGCTGGCTGTTAGCTGGGTCGTGGTAGGGGATGGGAGGGGGGCTCAGTGCTCCTCAATATAGCCTCTCATCCCCCAGTGTATTAGACCTGCTTCCTTATATGACAGTTTCAGGACAGCATTCCCAGAAAGCAAAGGCCAAAACTTCAAGGCTTCTCAAGGCTTAAGTTCTGGAACTCATACAACGTCATTTTTTCCACATTCAGCTTGTCAAAGAAAGTTGTAAGCCCAGTCTAGATTCAGGAAATGCAGGAGCCGACTCCACCGGAGGGTGGGAGGAACAGCAAAATCACGCTTGAAGGGGCACGTACACAGGAGCGTGCAGCTGCTGTGGCCATCTCCACACGCACTCACTGTCCTTGTTTTCTTTTTATTAAAGCGGGCAACCCAAGAGCAACCCGGCTGTGCAACCTTACTGAAGATGGAGTGATAAAATTAGAAAACGCGATAACAGGAGATTGCAATTTAAGTCTGGCAATTCTGGAAAAGCAGGTATGCCTTATGGCCCATGTGATGGGCAGCTCAATGCTTTTTATAACTCTTGAATTAGAAATAACAAAAGCTAGTAACTAAAACGGCTTTTTTTTTTAAGTTGGCATCTCTTTGTGAAAATGGATAGAGGAACAGGTTGGTTCGGCAAATTTCAGCAAATGACAATCTAGAGTACATTTTAAATGGCTTCATCTTTTTAAAACAGTGAAGTCTGTTTTTTTTGTTTTTTTACCAAAAACAGATCCCTGACATTTCAGACCAAAAGGAAGATATTTTAATGGTCTACTCGATCAGAACAAAGTGAAGAAACTATGACCAAAGATCTTTTGAGACAGGAAATACAGAGCCTAATGGTTGTCTCAGGGCTGTATCTATGAGCAGGTGAAATAGGAAGTATATCTGAGTAAATATTTTTCCATGCAGATTAAATTACTTTGACTAAGAATATATCCAAATGCAAATACATGGGATTGCTAACACCTGGGGACAAAAAAGGGGCAGAAGAGGAAACATCACTATGTGGTTCTTCTAGGCCTTTTACATATTATCTCATTTAGTTTTTATAGAACCTCTGTGAGTTAGATGTTATTCCCATATAGGTGATTATAGCTAATAACACAAACTAATTATTGATCACTGACTGCATGCTAAAAGCTGTGCTGGACATTTCACACACATTATTTTTGCCATATTTAATTCCTGTAACACCTCTGTAGATAAGTATTAATGTACTCATTTTATAGAAGAAGAGGAAACTGGCTCTGAAAGTTGTGGTCTTTTGCCTGGCGAATCAGAGACAAAAGTGATGGGGCTGCTTTTGCCTTTAAAGTCCACACTGTACCAGTGGGCGGAGGCAGAGAAGGTGTAGGGGGGATAAATGGTAATGAAAAAAATACAACAAAAAATAAAGCCCACACTTTACCATACTGGCTCCCTAGTTACCGCTGAGCAGGGGTGGGGGAGGGGGTGGGAGTGGGGATGGCAGTAGAGTGTGGAGGTAACTGCCAACAGCGTAGGTTGTGCCACCCACACATGTTGTGGGAAAGACTTCATGTTCTGGAATCGGACAAGCCAGTGTTTGACTATCCGCTCTGCCATTTCCAAACTGTGTGAACTTTGGGTGAGCTACTGACCCTCCCCAAGGCTTTAAAAAGGGATGAGAATGCTTAACTCACAAGATTGTTTTGTGCCTTAAATGTGATAACACCTGCAAAATATTTAGCAAAGTGTCTTGCACACAGCAGAAACCCAGCTATTGAATGGGAGCATTGTTTCAGTCTATTCATTGGATATTGCTTCCAGCAGTTTCCCAAGCTCGAAATAGCCTGTTACCTTGGTTTGATTTTTGAAACGATGCTGCCATCTAGTGAAAAAACTAAGTGCGAGACACACAAACACACACACATACAATCAACTCCCCCCAACCCTCGGCTCCACTAATGACAATATAGATTAACATGTTGTAGGTGCACAAGAGAATGTGGGGGCCAGCAGATACAAGGAGAGGTTTCTAGGTCAGTGCCACCCAAGCTACCTGTGCTGAAAAGCTAGTTTTTAAAATTTCCAACCCATGGCAGACCAATAATCTTGTAAAATACAATAAAGATGAGTAACTTGGAAAACGAAATTAAAAAACACAAATAATACAAATCTATTTTAAAAATTAGTATATGCAACAGCACAGAATTACTATATAAGTTTATAATTGTTATATGATTTCTACTAGGAAAGCAATAAACTTGAAAAACTGAGTAGATGTGATGTTCAGGAGATTGAGGCTCAATTTCTTCTTATTCATTTGTCATTGCTTGAAAAGTGTTTATATGTTTAGTTGTATAAAGTTAGTTTTTATTTATTTTTTAACAGATAGACAATGCCACAACAAATATTTCAGCTATTTCTGGAGAAGCCCAGGTTTTAACAGCGGACACCAGTACATTAACTCCTGAGAATATCACTTCTGCTACTAAAGTGGTTGGACAGATCTTCAACATGTCCAGAAAGGCTTCAGATGAGGTAAAACTCACAAGGTTTTTTAAAAGGGAGGGGAAGAAAAAAAGAAAGAAAGCCACCCCAAGCTTTATTTCTTATTTCTTATTCCATATCTTGGACTTGGGCATGGTTTATGTTGCTTAAAACAGTTTTCAGAGTCCTCTTTCCGTAAGACTCTCAAAGAAATAAAAAGAGCCTCCTTGTCCCCATATTCTCTTTCAGGATGGTCACAATGATCATTATCATGTGAAATTTGGAAAGCCTGTAACAAAAATCTATTTTATCTTATTAATATGTTTACCAATTACTTTTGACCTCAGCATCCCTGTTCATTTCAAAGTAACTGGTGTTCCAAGGAACTCACTTTGGAAGATGATGTTTTAAACTGGGATTTCTTTTTGCTAAGCATATTTGCATTTTACTTTTGGCTTTCTAAGAAACGGAAGCCTAATTTACATTTCTGATATTATAAACTGCTAAACTCTGTTACTTTAAAACAAGAATTATAGTTAACATTTACCAATAGACACAGCTTGGGTATGGGTCAAACAATGTTTACCAGCTGAATACCAACATGGCCTGAAAATATTTACTCCTTTCTTCTATTCCCTGCCAATGTCTTATTTCAAAACAATTATTTTATGTTATACTAGCACCTCTGGAAATTAAGTAGGATCAAAACCACAAGTTACTAAAAATGGAAATGAAAGAGAAAAATAATGACCGAGTGTAGAATTTATGGAAGGATTAGCCAATAAAGACAAAAAGGTATTAATAACTCAAAAGACGGCAGTTAAAAAGACAGCAAATATCAAGAGATCCTTTCCAATGTACTCTTGACTTTTTTAAAATCCTCACCGGAAGATTTTATATATACATATTTTAGAGAGGGAGGGAGGGAGGAAAGGGTTGGGGGTGGGGGAGGTTGGAGGGAGAGAGAGAGAGGGAGAGAGAGAGAGAGAAATGTTGATTCGTTGTCTCCTGTACGTGCACTGACTTGGGATTGAACTTGCAGCCCAGGCATGTGCCCTGACTGTGAATGGAACCCCCAGCCGTCTGGTGTAAGGGGCCATGCTCCATTCAACTGAGCCACCTGGCCAGGGTCTCCTGATTTTTTAAGAAAACTAGAGATAATTTTGCTAAGTCTAATAATTACACTAAGTGTAACTTATAAGTTATATTAAGTATTGTGAGCTGTAATGTTCTGACATTCAGAGTCCTGAATTCTTCTTATTTTATTTCTGTCTTTGTTTCCAAGCATCTGGTTTTGTGTTCTCGGAAATGAGGTGGAGGTTCTATGGAAGACCTTGTATAAAGTTAAATTCAGAGACTTAAACCTCCTAATTGACTGCATCAATCTGTATTTTCGCTATGCCTTACCTTTATTCTCTGCCATCTTATGGAGATCAAAAACTAAGCCTTTAGTTCCACTTGATACCATAATAATTACAATAATGGTGGCCACAGTAGTATGTGATATATGTTTTCTATGACGACGGGTATCTTCTTCTTGGCAGGCAAAAGTAGTTGCTGTATCAACAGTGAGTCAACTTCTAGCTGCCAGTGAAGATGTTTTTCAAAAAGCTGCTGCTGAGAATGATGATACCTTTACAACGTAAGCACAATTCCACTTTGGAAAGAAAATCTGACAAAGTGTCACTTACTTTCCCAGGGTAAAGCATTAATAGAGATGTCTTTATTTCTCTCACGGATGCACTAACTGGCCAATTCCTCTGGAATGCAGACTAAAACCTTGGCTTTCTACCTGATCTTCAGTGACTATATGGAGTGGTGTATTAACATACTGGTTCCAGGTGTGGCCACAGACAGAGAGTACCTGGCATGATTTAGATTCGAACTTGTTTTCATAGACTTAGTTTGGTATGCCCAAGGGGCAACTTGCATGTACTGTAGGAGCTCTTCAAACTCCTTTCTCAATTTATAGAGCTGCAAATAACAGCGTAACTTTTCAAGACATATTGGTAGCCTTCCACCCACAACTCAGCTCTCCCTGAGATCCTGGTGTATTTTGATTAAGCTTTCCCATGGCTACACTGAACCAAAAAAAAAAAAAAAAAAAAGGATCCAACTCCACTTGTTTATCTCTTCTTGACTCCTGTGTTCTGGATTTCTTTTGGTTGTATATTTATACTAAAACTCATGCACTTTATTCATAGAGGCTTCCCACTAGGATTCCCTGTGTTTTTAAAATTCTTAAATATAGTTTTCTTAGCTCTTTTAAAATATAAGTAAATATGCATGCTCATTATAGAAAAATAAAAATATATAGTTAAGAAAATTGTAAAAAATCATATTCTTGTAGGTTTTTTCTGTTTGTATGTGTATGTCTATATATATATAGTATATAATCTATTGATTTATAACTTGTTTTTGTCACTTTAAATACCTTATAAACATCTTTTTATGCAAATACTTATACATCTACATCACAAATTTTAAGAACAGAGTAATAAAGATTATTTCTATTGGGAAATCTGTCATTCTTGAGTTCCAGCTCTCTGGTGTCAATACAGAAGGTACCCATCAGTGCAGACAGTCCACCAGAGCTTTTAAAAAAGGTTTATATAACAAAGGAAGGTTCTGATAAAGAACATCAATGGCTTTTAGGTGATCGTGTGAGTGTAGTTATGCTCTCACGGGTTCTGTGGACATGCCTTTCTACTGGAATGTGGGAGAAAACACCTACCTCTGATTTTATGATGAATCTCTAGAATATCATGTTGTTATGTTTCATTCTATGCAGGCTTGTTCAGGAAATGGAGGCTTATTCCTTGTCTCTGGGCAATAATTCAGTGGTGAGCCCTAATGTAGCATTGCAGGCTGTTACTTTGTCTTCAGGAAACACTATGGAGTCTACAGGTGTTCGCTTCACTGTGCAGAAAGGTGAGCCATTTGTTTTGTGTGCTTGTGATAGCAGAGAGCATTCTATTACTAACCATAAATAATGTTCTATTCATGAAAATACAGACTTTTAACGTGCACTTTTTCCATCTCATAGGTTCTAGCAATTCTCTTGTTTCTGGTTCCACACAGATAGATACAAATGTGGACAGCATTAGTACAGACGGAATGACTGAACTTCAGATCTGGCTCAAAGCCTCAAAAAGTACGTCTGAAATTTTTATATTAAAAAATGCACCGAAACTCATGGGATTAATAACTTAAAACGCACTGAGTGCAAAGTAATGTTTACTTAGTTTTATACCGAATAATTTGTATTTGAGTATGTTTGAGCTCTGCCAGATTATGGTAATCTCTACAATTCTAGGTCATAGAGGTGGTTTCTTTTCAAAAACCTTTTGGAGGACAGTGGAATTGAAATTCTCTGTCCAGGGACACAAGTCTGTGTTCTAACAAAAATCTAGTTAATGTGGGTTATTAAAAATAATTTTAAAAAATCAGTCTCAAGCTCTCCTCATGTTTACTAATGGAATAACCAACATATAAAAATTTTAGAGCACCATTGTTAGAAAGGAAATTAAAGTGCAAATTATAAATTACTTAAAAAATTAATGGAAATGGGAGCATCACAGATTTAAACTGGTGGGATGTGGACAAAGAGGTGTTTAAAGGAAAATGTATATCCTTAATAAATTTATTAAAAAATAAAAGAAATTGTTAAAAAATAAACTAAGCATTTTGCTAAAGAGGCAAGAAAATAAAATACATGTAAAGAAAGCTAGAAGGAAGGGATTAATAAATACAAGGATATAAATTAATAAAAATAAAAATTAACAAATGCTAAACTTGATCAACAGAATGAAAAATTGATTCCATTAAAAGGCAAATGAAATGCACAAGCTTCTGAAAAATCTGATCAAGAAAAAACAGAAAAGAGAGAGTATAAATAAAGAGATGTGAAGGAGGTATATCTAGAAAAATGGAGACTGTTTAAAATTATAAGATAGTGGTCAATGCAATTTCTTCTAATAAATCTGAATATTTAGATGAAATGGTGATTTTCTAATAAATGACCAAAATACTGTAAGAGTGAGGAGAAGGGCAAGCAGGGACTACCATTTTTTAATCAATATACTTCTATGGATTTGATTTTTACATCAAGCATGCCATTCTTTTATAAAAATAAAAAATAAAAAGAAGACTTACTGCTCTATTAGGATTAACTTTCTTTTCTTGTGTTCAGAAGGAACAATTTCAACGTGCAATGAGATAGTCCTAGAAACCAATGTCTTTATTCCCATGTCGAGGCTGGAGCCATGAGGCTGGCTATGGAGGACATTTGACCGGCTGTCAGGGCCTCGCCTGCCATTTTCTCAGATCACATGACTGAATAGGCTGGTCTCACTGCCATTCTTAGTGTTCCATGTATCGCTTGTAAAGGACAGCACAATTTAGGAAATTAATTCAGTTAAAAACGTGTAGTTGTTGTTGGTGCTTCTGTTATTGTAAATGTGGCCAACAGCCGGTATGAAGTGCTAGGAAGCCAGCCTCGCTGCGAAATCCAAGGCTGCAGCCATGTCCTTCTAGGGTCTCTGTGGCACAGCTGACCATTGTTTCCAGCGCTCTGAAGATGTGTGTCACAATAGCCTTCCAGCCCTGGGCAAGCCTGTAATTGTCATGAAAGAGCAGAAACGATAGCTCAAGAGATGATGGGAAGAAGCTGGCTCCATTCAATGCCCCTGGTACGAACAACTTGAACTCCTGGCTCCGTGACTTAATAGACTGGTCCCTGCTCAGTCCCTTTGAATAGGAGACAAACCTCACAGAACTCTTCTCTAGGCACAGCTGTCCTGACATTTATCCTTTAGCTCTTTCTTGTCCCTTGTCTTATCAGTGGGGGAAGCAACTAGGCTTGACCTACCTGCAGTGATGTTCACTCTGTCTTGCTGTATAGAAAGCAAGATGTATACTTTATGAATTGAATCTTTGTAATACTTCCTTGAGGTGGATTAGGCAGGAATTATTGTACCCACTTAGAAGGTCAGGAATCTAAACCTCAGGAAAAAAATTTAATGTGGGTAGAATGGCCAACCACAGATTATGGGTGTTAATTACATACTGCAATTAAGTAATGGTTCAGCCAGCAAATCATTTTTACTGTACTTTTGTCAAATATTAAGCAGCTGTGCAGTTCAACAACGACATGGGACTTTGTTCCTTCTTTACCCTATTGTTTGCTTATGATTTTCATGTCTTTTCCCCCCTCCCAGCTAATACCAACTCATGCAGCTTTATAGTGTATCAAAACAACAAGCTCTTCCAATCAAAAACTTTTACAACTAAATTAAACTTTACTCAAAAAGTTATCTCGGGCAAAACTAATACAAATGGAGATGATCAGAGTGCTTCTGTTGAAATGGCCTTCCGTCCACAGGTGAGTTTTCCCGTTAACAGTAGTTAAAAATTCAGCCAACTCTTGATTGTAAAAGCAGGAATAGTTTGGGAGAAAGGAATCGACAGAAAAAACACTTGAAAGACTCTTTGGAAGTATTTATTTAAAACTTCCACCCACCCATATTTTTTGTCAATCCAGCTAAATGCAAACTTGGCTAATTAGAATTTTATATCCTTTTCCCTTCCTTAATTTATAATGAAGTTGTTATGCTTAGTACATAGCTAACTGATTTCCTAAATGATTGTCTTATCCTTTTTGATTTTTTCCTACCAAATTAAGCATTAAAAAATAAGTTGCAATTGTCTTATCAATTCACAGTACAACCCAAAAGAATTCAAACTCCATTCCTATGCCTGTGTCTTTTGGAATTTTTCAAAGAAGGATTGGGACACAAATGGCTGTTTCAAAGTTGGGGAGGCTGGTGAATTCATACGTTGCCACTGCAACCACACTACTAATTTTGCTGTATTAATGGTAAGGATGTACATAGTAACCTCTTTTCAGACAAGAATTGTCCTTATACACAATTCTGGTATGTGCTAATTGGAGATAACGTTGGGGTTTAGTTTACCCCAATCAGATTAAATAGAAAAGGGGGAATGGAATGATAAGACTAAAAAGGAAAATGCTGGTAAAAGCAAGTAGAATAGGGTTTTTGTTTTTTTGTTTTTTTGTTTGTTTGTGCTTTTGCAATTAGGTCTCAGGATAGGTGAGTTCAGCACTGTGTATTTATTAATGAGAAGGGAGCCAGTGTGCAAAAGAGCTGCTGACAGATTCCAATCAACTAACTTGCATGTTCTGAAGCATGCAGTTGTTATAGTCAGGGGTATGGCTAGAGCTGTGTGTTGGGGACAGGTTCCATACATACTTAGCTATGGTGAGGAGCAGTTTAAATCAGTTACCCATAGCTTCTCCCATATAATCATCTAAGTTACTAAGTTTATGTTAGAAGATATGAGAAGAAAATCTCTTTAATTCATTCAGTTTGTCCCATAGTTCCTGTATGTATTTCTAAACTCTTTTAACTCCAAAGCTTCCTTGCACAAGTACTGGTAACACTTAACTCTGGTGTGCAGCTTAGCTGTATTGCACCTCTGAAAGTTCTCGGACTGACCATTTTAAGAAGAGGGGCTTCTATTTGTTCCACTTCCAAAAATCTATTATTTTGGTGAAACCAAAAATGTTAGTTTATAAACTTGATGGAATGTATTCATATGTAATGAAATGAGTGTCTTATCCTTCTTGAGGGATTATTAATGTCATGAATCTCTAAAAGAGGAGTGGATGTTTTCATTCCCCAGTAGCTATGATGTAGCCATATTTGGGGAGCCAGTGGGGATCACAACATCGTGGAACAACGTAGAATATCAAATTAGAGAACACTGCTTTAAAAATATTTTTTGAGATAATTGTAGTTTTCTTACCTTAATTATAAAATCTTACATGGTTTTGTTTGTTCATTTTCTTTTTTAAAATTTGTTATATTTTATTGTTTAAGCTATTACAGTTGTCCCAATTTTTTTCCCCTTTGCTGTGCCCTCTCTCCCCTACTCCCTCAGGCAATCCCCACACCATTGTCCACATCACGGATCATGCGTATATGCTCTTTGGTTACTTTATCCTCTATGCCGTACTTCACATCCCCATGATTATTCTGTGACAACCGATTTGTACTTCTTAACCCCCTCACCTTTTTCACTCATCCCCCAGACCCCTCTCCCATCTGGCAAACATCAAAACATTCTCTGTATCTATGATTCTGTTTCTGTTCTGCTTGTTCATTTATTTTGTTTTTTCGATTAAGTTGTTAATCTGTATGTATTTATTGACATTTTATTGTTCTTGTTAAAATATTTTTCTTCTTCTTTTCTTAAAGAAGCCCCTTTAACATTTCATATAATAATGGTTTAGTGTTGATAAACTCCTTTAGCTTCTTCTTGTCTGGGAAGTTCTTTATCTGCTCTTCCATTCTAAATGATGCCTTTACTGGGTAGAGTAATCTTGGTTTTAGGTCCTTGCTTTTCATCACTTTGAATATTTCTTGCCAATCCCTTCTAGTCTGCAAAGTTTTTTTTGAGAAATCAGTTGACAGTCTTACAGGAACCCCCTTGTAGGTAACTAACTGCTTTTCTCTTGCTGCTTTTAAGATTCTCTCTTTGTCTTTAACTTTTGGCATTTTAATTTTGATGTGTCTTGGAGGGGGGCTCCTTGGGTTCATCTTGTTTGGGACTCTACACTTCCTGGAACTGTATGTCTATTTCCTTCACCAAGTTAGGGAAGTTTTCTGTCATTATTTTTTCATATAAATTTCCAATTTCTTGCATCTCTCTTTTCCTTCTGGTACCGCCATGATGCAAATGTTGGTATGCATGAAGTTGTCCCAGAGGTTCCTACATTATCCTCATTTTTTTGGATTCTTTTTCTTCTTGTTATTCTGATTGGGTGTTTTATGCTTCCTTATATTTCAAGTTGCTGAATTGATTCTCAGCTTCATCCAGTCTACTGTTGATTCCCTATAAATTGTTCTTTATCTCAATTAGTGTATCCTTCATTTCTCACTGGACCTTTTTTATGCTGTTGGAGTCCTTACTAAGTTCATTGAGCAGCCTTATAGCCAGTGTTTTGAACTCTGCATCTAGTAAATTGCTTGTCTCCATTTTGTTTTGTTCTTTTTCTGGAGTTTTCTTCTATTCTTTCATTTGGGCCATGTTTTTTTGTCTCCTCATTTTGGCAGCCACCCTTTGTTTGTTTCTATGTATTAGGTAGAACTGCTATATCTCCCAGGCTTGGTAGAGTGGCCTAATGTAGTAGGTGTCCTGTAAGGTCCAGTGGCACAGCCTCTCCTATCACCCAAACTGGGTACTGAAGGTGAACCTACCGTGTGGGCCATGTACACCTTCCTGCTGTATTTGAGCCTTGACTGCTTTGGGCATGTCCAAGGTCATCTACTGCCTGTGATCTTTCAGGGGTCACTGGCATAAACTACAAAGCTATCTGCATATGGCTGCTGCTTGTGCTGGGCTTAGAGGTGCCTAGGTGGGGCCAAGCTGTGAACCAAAGCTGGCTGCTACTAGTGCTGGGCCTGGGGCAACTTAGAGAGGAATACAAGTTTTGCTGAGGCCGGTGCTGCTGATTTGAGAGAATTTAGGAAAATCTGAAGCATAAACCAGACAAGCTATTGATAAAGAAACAGCTTGGGTGGGCCCAAAGTTGGGTGGGGCAGGGCCTCAGGGAATCACCAGAGTGGGGCAAACAGTGTGAACCAGGTTGATGGAGTCTCAGATAAGGCACCCACCTATTGGCTCTGAAGGCACCTGCCTACATGGGGGTATAGCTCAGAAAAGGAACAACGGTCTCTGGCAGCACTTCTGTCCGGAAGAAAGCTGCGCCCTAGCTCTTGCACTGATGCGGAACAATTCAGTTCCTCCCTGTAAGTCTCTGATGCCTTTCAAGTTGCTGCTCCCACTCTGGGGCTCAGAGGGAGTGAGTCTGACTAAGTCCGTGTGTAGGCCCTTTAAGAAGAACTACCCAGGACTCTGGAAGTTTCTGTGTTCCATGGTCTCAACCCCCGCTGGTTTTTACAATGATAAGAGTTATGGGGGCTTATCTTCCTGGCACTGGAACCCTGTGTGGGGCCTGTTGTGGGGCTGGGACCACTTGCTTCAAGATATCCCTCTTGATGTTTATCATCCATATGTGGCTGTGGGTCCAGGCCATTCCTTCACCACTCCTATGAGCCTTAATGTGGTTTCTTTTTTAATTCCATAGTTGTAGGACTTATATTCAGTTCAATTTGTGGTGGTTCTGAATGATTGTTTTTCTCTAGTTTCATTGAAATTTTGACGTGGCTGTGTGAGGAGGGAAGCTGTGTTTACCTATACCCCATTTTCTTTTTTTAAATTAAATTTATTGGGGTGATATTGATTCATAAAGTCATATAGGTTTCAGGTGCAATTTCTATGATACGTGATCTATGCATTTTCTAACTTGTATTACACAGAGATCTGCTTTCTCAGTTAGAACATTATAAAGATAAAATTTTAACTTTTTTAATAGCTTAAGTTCATTATTATCATTGAATAGCTGCATTAAGCTCAGAGTGCCATACACAGTAAATGATACAGAATACACTGTCATAGTTATTTTTCTCATTTTTTGAGGTCAGGCTTTCAGCTCTTTTTTTTCACTAATATCTGAATCTGCCTCGGTGACTATCTACTTATATTTACAATTAGTTCTGGGTTGCAAAACTTTTTAAAAGGCTGCCTAGAATTGTATGTTAAGTAAATAGATGATTTCTATGATCTGAAGATCTATGTATTTTATGACTCAGTCATCATGAAAGTTTTATTATTATTTTAAAGGATATTTATATTTATTTCTACAAAAGAAATACATATTCATTACACAAAGCATGAACATTTATCAACCGAAAAGAAATATACTGATATGGAAAATTTTTATGAGATCTTAAATAGCAATTTGAGGAAAAAGTATTATGTGAACAACTGCCTATGTATTTGTGCAAGAGACATAGGCAATATTTGTAAGCATAGAAGAACAGTGACCTCTGGTGAAGATACCGGATTTTAAGAGGTAGGGTATGATGTGGGGAAGCTGACAGTAAATAGAAAGATGCTTTTAAAATTAAATTTCTATACTCTTTATAAAAACAATTTAATTGATTGTATGTTCTAAGTAACTAGAAAATGTGTACATGTAAATCTATAGCATACCTGAGTTTCAGAGACATTTAAGTGACTTGCCTGAAATAATTTAGGATAGGGAATTGTGACATCTGGTAAGTTTGTCAAGGGTTTTGTTTATTTCAAACTGAGCAAATATTTGTGTAGTACTCTACCTATATAAAATTATGGGTAAACTGATATTTATATACCACTATTATTTGTAAATATAATATTGATAAAACATTTTTACTTTTATTTCAGTTCAAAATTTTTCCAAATAGCCTGTGTGTATATAAAAATTATTTTTACTTAATATGAATATGGCAAGAATAATGGAAAGAGAAAATATTACATGACTTGACTAATTACTTGGTAATTGTTTTTGCTCTTGGTCTTTAAAATATGAACAGATTTGTGTTCTACTTACCATTCATTGGTTTGATATCCCACAAGTCAGCTGTCCTTGGTGGCTGATCAACAACACAGAAGGTAAAAGGAGACCCATAGGGATGATGGTTAATGTCTCTCGCAGATACAAGGATCGATGGAGAGGCAATGCAGATGGTGTCGCTTTCAGCAGAAATGACTGGACAGTAATCATTTACATCAGGCACTTCGATACATATGGTTCCCGTAGCCGTTATTCCAGAGCCATCTGAAATGGCAAAGCATTGGGGATGTTGGGGTAAATGGTGTCAGGGAGAAATTTCTTTATCCGCTGATGATGTCACAGCAGACAGAAGCAACCTGAACGACTCCTGACTTGGTGCGTGACAGGTTCCTGCCGAGTTCAACAACCTGAAGCCACTCTTGTGTTTGCCCGCAACCTCCCAGTCACACTGGCTTTTTTTGAACAAGCTTCTTCCTAACTCAAGACTCTTTTTCATCCTATTCACTCTTCCTAAAATGTTTTTCACCTCCATTTTATTCTGCTAACTGCTACTCATCCTAAGCGAAATTAAATGTCCTTCTCCAGAAAAGGTTTACTGCTTCCTATTCCTATTTGGTCACCATAGATGAGACCTCCAGACCAGCTCAGACCTTCCATTTCAGGATGCTCATTGATTCCTGTGTTGTTGAAATAACCACAATTGAAATTAAATAATTCTATGTATCTACCCTTTATACTTTGATTGTCTATTTTAATTCTATCCATGAAATGCCATTTCTCTCCGAAAAGACACTTATGAAACCAAGTATCAAAATACTAGATTTTTTCCCCCCAACCTCTTTGGAACAAATTTTGGGTGAGTATAGTTTGTTGGAAAGAGCAAAGGACCAAGAAATAGTAGCCTGAGTTTTAGTCCACCTTTCTACTTTATATTCTGTTACAATGAATAAATAATTAATTTGTTTTTAACGTGCAAAGGGTCTTAGTTTCATCATTTGTGAACTAGAACATTATCATCTCTTGGGTATTTTACTAGGACATTTTTGGAGAAATTAATAAACCTTTTTATAGATGACTTTTGCATGCCTAACTAGTGGAGCCACTTAGTTAATCAAATGCCAATAAACTGGAAGCCTATCTATATCTTCTATGGTTATGTACAGTATGTTCTTAATACCCGATTCAGCATTGGACTTTCTAGACTTAGGCTCTCATGGGGCAGATATCAGATCATCCCGCAGTTTGCTTTCTGTGTCATTCTCTGATCCTCAAAAAATATATATATATATATTTCTATATTACTTTCATGTTTTATAAATAAGCATATGACTTTTTAAATTTTAACAATTAAACAAATTAGAAAGAACAGACAAGCAAGAATAATTGTATATATTCTACCCGCCCAGTGGCCACTATCATTACCTCTCGATTTCTAAGAATACCTATTTACCTGAAATATACTTTTAATGGATATATACTAAAATACTAGGATAGCGATATATTACACAAAAATTAGACCTTTAAAAAATGACAGGATCATGTGAACATCTTTCCATATCCTTAAAGATATTTCTGCAACTTTATTTTTAGAGCATCAGCTTTGATAGGCTGATTTCCCTTCAGGTTATAGTTATACACAAAAATAATGTAATGTATATCCAATAATGTATAGCCAATTTATATCTAATTCAAACAACTTTGATTTTGGACATTGAGGAATAGAATATTTGTTTTCCCTAACTGAATTAGTTAAATATCTGTTCTCAAGCCCTGATATCTCATGTAAACTGCTTAGCAGTAAGTGGTTAATTTATTTCCTATCTGGTTATTTTGACTAATGTAACTCTTCAAGATGTTGACTTTCATAGACATTTCAGAAATGGTTATTTAAACATGTTAGTCTTGACTTATTTTCCAGAGCTTCAGAAAAAACTATAAATATCCTGAATCACTGGATATATTATCCACCATTGGATGTGCACTGTCCATCACTGGTCTGGCTCTCACAATTATATTTCAGATTGTCACCAGGTAAGAAGGGAGGCTGGCTCTTTTCATGGGAGAAATTGCTATCCTTTTTATTTGCTCTGAGCATATTCTTATCAGAATATAGTTTCTTGTAACTACAAGGAAAATCGGGTTTAGTTCAACATGTTCATTTTTACAGAAGACAGGCCTGGTGAGGCTAAGAAATACACGCAAGTAAGTATATGATTACAAACTGGTAAATGCCTTGAAAGAAAATTACATACCATGTAATTTCAAGTTTTTCATGCAAAATTAACATGGTCTGGTAGCTCATTAATGCCACAGTTCCTTTGTGTTGAATAGAAACATAATTACCAATTTACATTTGTAAAAGAAAGAAATATTGCTAAGTAGCAAAGTTTTTTAAAAAAATATAATTTAAAAAATATATTAAGTTTTCAAATGATGAAACTTTTGAGTTTTTGAATTCCATACTTTAAAAAATCTATTAAAAATTATTTATGAATACACACTTCTGTCCAGGTTGGCCCCCTCACTCAACATTCAATTTGTATAGCACTAGTTATTGTCTGTTACATGCTACATTTTTAATAATATGGAAATATAAGCCTTATTATTTTTATTTTACTTGTGTATTGTTTTCCCCATTAGCATGAAAACTGATGAGAGTAGTGACCTCTGATTTTGTTGTTGCTGTTTATTTTTTGTTTTCATCATTGTCCCTCAGGGCTGACTGTAGTACCTGGCGCATGGTAGAAGAATATATGTGGAATAAATGGATCTATTGTGCAGTCCTGTCTGTTCTCATCTTACACTCAAGCTATCTCAAAATGAATTCACTTGTCCTTCAGAATTATTTTTCTCTTCTAAATCTCTTCTCAACTTTTTTCTCAGATATGTATACTTATAATTTTTTTAATTTTAAAGGCATTGCTGTTTAAAATTTTTCCTGAAGTTTTATTTAAAAAATAAACTTACAGAAAAGTTTAAAGAGAACACAACACCCATATATCTTTCACCTATATTCACCAATTATTTATATTTTGCTCTCCTTTTCTATTTTTTGAAATTCTCAAAGTAAATTATAGGAATCATGACTATCATCTCTAAATTCTTTGAGCATGTATCTCCTAAGAACAAGGGCATTCTCCTACATGGTACAATACTGTTATTCTCACTCAAGGAATTTAACCCAAGAAAGTAAAAATTATTATACTGTTATTGTGTTAATATGCAATCCATATTCAAATTTCTTCCAATTGTCCCAGTAATGTTAGTTATAGCATTTTCTCCCTCAGTTTATTTAGTTGTCATGTCTGTTTAGTCTTATTTAGCTTAGAATAATATCTTTGCTTTTGTTTGTTTGTTTGTTTTAGTCTTTCATGACATAAAAATTTTGAGGTATTCAGGTTGCTTATTCTGTAGGTAGTAGAATATTCTATGGCTTAGGACTTGTCTGGATTTTCCTCATGATTAAATACAGGTTAAATATATTTCTTGAGAATACTTTAGTCTTTCAGTGTGACACACAGAAATACATGATGTCAGTTTGTCCCATTATTGGTTAAATTTGATTCCTTGTTTAAAGTCATGTCTGCAAGATTTCTACATTGTGAAGGTTCATTTTGTCCCTTTGTAAATAATTGGTAATCCATGAGGTAATGGTCTGAGACTGTGTGACTATTCTGTTCCCCAACTTTCACTCAGTGGTTTTGGTATCCTTACTGAAATGTATTACTATGTTGGTGGTTGAAAATAATAATTTTCTAACCTATCATGCTATATTTAGTTACAATATCCTTTTGTAAAAAGTACACTCTCCAATGTAATCAGAGGGAGTCCCTTCATGTTGCTTTATCCTGTCTCAATCAGTCTGTAAGCAGTTCCTTTTTTTTTAAGATAAAAAATTTTAAATATTTTACTTATTTATTTTTAGAGGGGGGAAGGGAGGGAGAAAGACAGGGAAAGAAATATCAATGTGTGTTTGCATCTCACACGCCTCCTGCTGGGGGACCTGGCCTGCAACCCAGGCATGTGCCCTGACTGGGAATCGAACCAGCAACCCTTTTGTTCACAGGCTGGTGCTCAATCCACTGAGCCACATCAGCTAGGGCTAAATACTTCCTTTGTTCAGGCACAGAATTTTCTCTGTCCCATCCATAGAATCAGCCATTTTTCCAAAGAATTAGAATTCTTTTTGATTCCTCTTTTTTACTTTTAATACTCAAGTCTCTTGCCATTCACTAAAAATTTTTATATGGAGTGCTTACTATGGACCAAGCATACATATAAACAATGCAGGTAAGCTCCTAGCTCTCATGGTATTTACATTCTCAGGGGGAAGACAAATGTTATACAAATATATACAGAAATTTTATATATAATTACAAATTGTGGTAAGTGCCTTGAAGAGAAATTACATGCCATGTAATTACAAGTCTGTCATAGAAAAAGAAATGGCTCTTAAGATTGTCTTTTCATTTGTTTTTCTACCATTACCACACTGGAACAATTATTCCCATGAGGATGATAAACTAGTTTCTTTGCCTAAAATCTTACTCCTTTGAATTGTCATCAGATTTTTTTTTTGCATCCTCTGTCAACACATTTCTGAGCACAATTATGCTGCTAAGATGCCACTAAAAACTCATCAGGAAAGAAAAACAAAAATAAAAACAAAATTATGTTGATTTTAAAATCTTGAATCAAGTAGTTTTCTTTGTTCATGGACAGGTTTCCATATAAGAATAATATGTATATTTTTATTAAATACAATAAGTATTATATATTTGTGTGCATAATAATATACAGAACCACCAAACTCTTTAAAAACAGCCTATTTTCCTGTGGGTTATACTTTATGTTTGATATTGAAGAAAAGTTAGAAAGTAACTTTATTTTATATAAAAGAATTATTTTAAGTATTTTTGCAGTTCTCAACTAAATCTCAACTAAAATGTCAAGAGAATGGACAGAGTTCTGTTTAAATATAAGCTTTTTATTCAACATGGAAATCCCCAAACTGAGAAAGATCATGAAGGAATGCTATAAAATCATGAAGGAGACTTCTGACCAAGATGGAGGCATAGGTAGATATACTTTGCCTCCTCGTACAACTAAAAGGACAACAACCAATTTAAAAGCAGAAAATAACCAGAACTGCCAGAAAATTGAACTGTATGGAAGTCTGACAACCAAAAAGTTAAAGAAGAAACTTTCATCCAGACTGGTAGGAGGGGCAGAGATGGGCAGCTGGGGCAGAGAGGACGTGTGGCAAGGTGGCAGTTGGAGGACTGGGCGGGTGAGGCAGTGGCTGGCAGACCCTGTGGTCCCATGTTTGCATGCGGATAAACTGGAGGAATGCTGGGGAGCAAGACAGACCCTGCAATCCAGGGTTCCAGCATGGGAAAAGAAAGCCTCAAAACCTCTGGCTGTAAAAATCTGTGGGGGTTGCGGTGGCAGGAGAAACTCCCAGCCTCACAGGAGAGTTGGTGGAGACACCCACAGGGTCCTGGAATATACAAAAACCAACCCACCCAGAAATCAGCACCAGAAGGGCCCAATTTGCTTGTGGGTAGTGGGGGAAGTGACTGAAAGCCTGCCAAGAGCTGAGTAAGTGGTCTTGTTCCCTCTCAGACCCCTCCCCTGCATACTGCACCACAACGCAGCAACCTGGGTTGACCTGCCCTGGTGAATACCTAAGGCTCTTTCCCTTCCAACATAACAGGAGTGCTGCAACAAAGAAATATGGCCCAAATGAAAGAACAGATCAAAGCTCCAAAAATAGAACTAAGCAATGAACAGATAGCCAATCTATCAGATGCACAGTTCAAAACACTGGTAATCTGGATGCTCACTCAATTGGTTGGGTATAGTCACAAAATGAAGGAAAAAGTGAAGACTATGGAAAGTAAAATAAAGAAAAATATACAGGGAACCAACAGTGAAGGGAAGGAAACCAGGACTGAAATCAATGATTAGGAGCAGAAAAAAGCGATAAACATTCAACCAGAACAGAATGAAGAAACAAGAATTCAAAAGAATGAGAAGAGGCTTAGGAACCCTTGGGACAAGTTTAAATAATCCAACATCAGAATCATAGGGGTGCCAGAAGGAGAAGAGGAAGAGCAAGAAATTGAAAACTTATTTGAAAAAAATAATAAAGGAGAACTTCACAATCTGGCCAAGGAAATAGACTTCCAGGAGATCCAGGAAGCTCAGAGAATCCCAAAGAAGTTGGACCCAAGGAAGCACACACCAAGACACATCATAATTAAGTTACCCAAGACTAAAGATAAGGAGAGAATCTTCAAAGCAGCAAGAGAAAAAGAGACAGTTACCTGCAAAGGAGTTCCCATAAGACTATGAGCTGATTTCTCAAAAGAAACCTTGCAGGCCAGAAGGAGCTGGAAAGAAAGAAGTAATTAAAATTATGAAAAGCAAGGACCTACATCCCCGATTACTCTATCCAGCAAAGCTATCATTTAGAATGGAAGAGCAGATAAAGTACTCCCCAGATAAGGTCAAGTTAAAGGAGTTCACTATCACCAAACTCTTATTATATGAAATGTTAAAGGGACTTAATTAAGAAAAAGAAGATCAAAAACTATGAACACTAAGAAAAGGGGAGAGGGAGGGGAAAGAATGCGGGAAAAGGTACAGGGAATAAGCAGCATAAATAGTAGGTACAAAATAGTGATAGGGAGGTTGAGAATAGTATAGGAAATGGAGAATCCAAAGAACTTATATGTGCAACCCATGGACATGAACTAAGGGGTGGGGGAATGCTGGGGGGTGGGGTGGTGTAGGATGGAGGCGAATAAAGGAAGAAAAAAAATGGGACTATTGTAATAGCATAATCAATAAAATATATATTACAAAATTTAAAAAAATTTGCAAATGAAACAATAAGGCATAATCACCCTTTCAGGTAAGAAAGATGTTGCAAACAGACCTAAGCCAATTTGGCAGTCCAGCAAAAGTCAAATCCTTTAATGAAAATGGCAAAGCTGGATGATGGTTATACAGAGCTGCCTGCCCAACCTTGGTAGTGGCTACATTATTAATTAAGAAATGGAATACGAACCCAAATTCTTTCAAACATATGAACAGTGGTTAGCAAGCAAGTACAAAAGAGGATGAAAAGGTTATTCTGTAGTAGATGTTCTCTATTCCCAATAATGTGACTGCCTGGTTTTGTAGGTGAGTTGGGATCTGGCACGATCGATAGGACTTTAGAGCTAGAATTACCTTGAGTGCATAGAGACACACTGTCAATCTAACAGTTGAAAATAAGTGGGGTGACAGAGACTTACCTTGGGGTGGTGAACACAATACAGTGTACAGACGATGTGTTATAGAATTGTGTACATGAAACCTGTATAATTCTGTTAACTAGTGTCACCCCAATAAATTCAATAATTTATTTGAAATGTACCTTTCTGAAAGGTAGTTTGCTAATGTGTATAACAATATCAAGCGAACATAGCCTACAGATTACCAATCCTACTATCCTAAGGAAGTAACTGAGATCTGTTCATAGATAATGGATCGCATCATTTTTCATAGTGCTAGGTTTCAAACAATTAAAATTTTGTTAGTAATATAGTGATACAATACAGATCAGTAGCTGTTTGGCAGTAGGATGAAGGTTAGAAGGGGTAGAAGAGGTGGGAGGACAGGATTAAAAATGTCCCGGATGAATGTTTCGGGGTGCTGGACACATTAACTACCTTTGATTGTGATGATGAGTTCATGAGTGCATAGATATATTAAAGCTTTTAAATAGATGCAAAAAAAAATCATAAAGGATATATAATCAGCAAACAGACTTATCAAATTCTGGGACATTAAAAATAGAGAGGTACTTGAAGATGTTAGAATTTTAAGCACAGTAGTAAACTTTGGGAAATAGTTATTCCAGGAGGCCTTGTAGTCTGAAAAATCTAGGAGGATTTAGATGGTAGTGAGTGCAGACTTTATAACATAACTTTCATTAATGTAGGACTGTATACCATAGTCTACAGAGAACTGTAATGTCATTAGAAGGGATTTAAGGATATATCTGCCTTTAAACCTTAAGGAAAACATTACATACACAGTAAAAAGAATATCAAATCTCACATCTGAGATCAACTTTACTAAGAGCAACCTCAAATTCTCTGCCAATCTCAAAATCCACATATGGGCCACTGCAGATTCTCTCTCTCTCTCTCTCTCTTTCTCCCCCTCCCCAACTTTTTCTCTCTCTCATCTTACTGCCTTCTGGAGACTACTCTTAAACAACACCAGCCTGCAGATAAAATGAGAAAGGGCTTTTCTTGCAAAATCTTAGGTAAATACAAGAAGAAAAAAAAAAACATTTCAAAGAGCACTTGGTTCTACATCCAGAACTATATCTTCCAATGAAGGGACAGTGAGGCTTGGGCATGTTTGAGATTAAAAGACCTATTCAGATCATCTTGACCAGTTGACTATCAGCCAGTATTTCCCAAACTGTGGTTCTTGGAACTCCAGTCTTTGGGAGAAACTCCATGGAAAAAGGGCTCTGACAGATCTTACAGAAAAGACACATGTGAAACTTTGCTGCATATAAGTCATTTACAGGGATAGTCATCATCAGTCTATTCAAATTATGCAGAATGCCACTAGTAGCAATAGGCTGTTAAACACATTTTAAATATTTTTATTTAATTTAAAATGTTTATGGGAGCCTCATAACGCAAAGTAAACTAAACCTTATACCATCTTCTTAGTTTAAAAGTAATATGTTTAATATTACTTAAAATTATAAAGTTAATTAAAGTTATATCAGGCCTTATTCTTTTAAAATTTATACATGCGCTTTAAAATAAAATACTTTTAAAAAACTCAAGAGACTTTCTTTACATTTGCATATGGTATCATCTACTAACATGCAATAGTTTTCTATTTTGAAAATTTGAAAAATCCTTTTAGAACCTTTCTATAGACAGCCTTTGTACGTGCTTGCAAATCTGGAGAAGTTTGGTCTATTGCAGTATTAAAAACTGCCCTAGAACTTAGGGTCTTGACACAACAATTTATTATCGCTATTGCTTCTGTGTCTTGGCTGGGCTCAGCTGGGCAGCTCCTCCGAAGGTCTCCCTGAGGACCTCCCATGACACCGTGGTCACGTGGTGGCTGGGATTGGAGCCATCCAGAGGTTGCTGGGATGATGCAGCAGCAGGGTCATTCCAGAGTCTCAGAGCAGCTCCATGAGGTTCTTGTTGCAGGGTGGCTGGATTTTTTACATGGTGGCTCAGGAGCACAAAAGGGAAAACTTGTTATGACTTTCATGAGTCCTAGGTACTTTTGTCTTTGTGAGACTCTCCTCCATAAAAAAAGGATAAGAATCATATTTTATGACAGCATTGTTATAAAGATGAATATATTAATATTACATGCTAATTTTTTTTCTTTGACCTAAAAGTTCATTTTTGTCTTCTTCTGGTTGAAAAGGAGTTAAAACATTGCTGTGGGCCGTAAAAGTATTGTGGGCTCTAAGCACTACTGTATCTAATGGATAAGTTGGCCTTATCTTCCAGGCCTTCTATTCATTAAAACAAGTCACAGTCCAGCCCTGGGAGGTGAATATGCCGGGCATAAATACTGGGAAGTAGGATTTGTTGGGGGCCGTCTCTGGAGAGTAGCTATCACCTTTGATTGGAACACAGTTTCAAGAAAGGATGTATCAGCCTGTTTTCTCTAGCTAACTAACTTGTGGAAATGACATAAGAGAAGAGTATAATTTTCTGGTGTTGCTGGGAAGGTAGATGTACCAGGTGGCCCATGGGCTATTAGCTGAATTTATATTGGATAATAATATTCTTTGTTCCCTCACAATATCACTAAAGTTTATATATTGCAGTTATTTTGCTTATTTTTTTAATTTTATTTACTTATTTATATTCAGGAGAGTGAGAAAAACCTCAGTAACCTGGGTGTTGGTCAGTCTGTGCACATCAATGTTGATTTTCAACCTCCTGTTTGTGTTTGGAATTGAAAACTCCAATAAGAACTTAAGTACAAATGATGCCAAAAATACTGGTTCTAATAGTAATGAAAAGCCCAAAAGAGACACTGAGGACCCTGTGAATCCTACGTGCACGGCGATTGCTGCATTGCTTCATTACTTTCTGCTAGTGACATTTACCTGGAGTGGACTCAGTGCCGCACAGCTCTATTACCTTCTAATTAGGACCATGAAGCCTCTTCCTCAACGTTTCATTCTTTTCATCTCCTTAATTGGGTGGGGTAAGTGTTTGTTTCTCTACTTACTCAGGAATTTACTTTTGTCGAAACCATTTAGTTTAAACAAATGCCTATTGAAGACCTAAAAGTACAAGGCCTAGAGGTAGGGGAGATGGAAAATCCAGAAATCAGTAAAAGCGCCTTTCACCTTCACACTCCTGTGGAGGCAGATGGGTGGAGGCAGTTCTACTAGATACATTATAAGCTAACCTCAAGATGTTAATTTCCTTCAACATCTCTATTAATTTGATTTGGGATTTAGGCCACAAAAAACTTTCTAGCTACTTTATTTATTTATTGTTTGGGGGGTGCCACATAATTTTATTTTTAAAAAAAATTTAAAAAATTTTATTGTTTAGGCCACTACAGTTGTCCCAATTTTTGCCCCCTTTCCCCCTTCACCCAATCCACCCTCCGCACTCCCACAGGCAATCCCCACACTGTTGTCCATGTCCATGGGTCATTCATATGTGTCCTTTGGCTATGCCTTTCACCTTCTTTCAACCAGACCCCCCACCCCATCACTTCTTACAGCTGTCAGTCCGTTCCATGTTTTTATGCCTCTGATTCTATTTTGCTTATAAGTGAGATCATATGGTATTTGTCTTTCTCTAACTAGCTTATTTCACTTAGCATAATAGTCTCCAGTTCCACCCATGCTGTTACAAAGGGTAGGCATTCCTTCTTTTTTACAGCTGAGTGGTAATCCATTGTATAAAGGTAGCACAGCTTTTTTACCCACTCATCTACGGATGGACACTTAGCCTGTTTGCAAATTTTGGCTTTTGTAAATAACGCTGCTACGAACATAGCAATGCATATATTCTTTTGGATTGGTGTTTCAGGATTCTTAGGATACATTCCCAGAAGTGGAATCTCCGGGTCAAAAGGCATTTCCATTTTTAATTTTTTGAGAAAACTGCATAGCATTTTTCACAGTAGCTGTACCAGTCCGCATTCCCACCAACAGTGCACTAGCATTCCCTTTTCTTTGCATCCTTGCCAACACTTGTTGTTGGTTGATTTATTAATGATAGCTATTCTTGGCACATGTGAGATGATATCTCATTATGGTTTTAATTTGCATCCTTCTGATGGCTAGTGATGTTGATCATTTTTTCATATGTCTATGGGCCATCTGTATGTCCTTTTTGGAGAAGTGTTTATTCAGGGTCGTTGCCCATTTTTTAATTGGATTGTTGGTCTTTCTGATGTTGAGTTGTATAAGTTCTTTATATATTTTGGAGATAAAACCCTTGCCTGATGTATCCTTGGTAAATATGTTCTCCCATACAGCGAGTTCCCTTCTTCATTTTGATGATGGTTTCTTTGACTGTGCAGAAGCTTTTTAATTTGATGTATTCTCATTGGTTAATTTTTTCCTTTGTTTCTCTTGCCCTAAAAAATATATTGGCCAAAATATTGCTATGTGAGATATCTGAAATTTTACTATGTTTTCCTCTTGGACTTTTATGGTGCCATGACTTATATTTAAGTCTTTTATACATTTTGAGTTTATTCTGGTGTATGGTATAGGTTGATGGTCTACTTTCATTTTTCTGCACATATCTGTCCAATTTTCCCAACACCATTTATTGAAGAAACTGTCTTTACTCCATTGTATGTTCTTGCCTCCTTTGTCAAATATTAATTGATCATAAAGGTGTGGATTTATTTCTGGGCTCACGGTTCTATTCCATTGATATATGCATCTGTTCTTATGCCAGTACCAGAATGTTTGATTACAGTGCCCTTATAGTATAGTTTAATAGCAGGTATTGTGACCCCTCCAACTTTGTTCTTCTTTCTCAAGATTGTTGAGGTTATTCAGGGTCTTTTTGGTTCCATATAATGTTTTGGAATATTTGTTCTAGATCTTTGAAATATGCCATTGATATTTTAATAGGAATTGCTTTGAGTCTGTAGATTGTTTTGGGTAGTATGGACATTTTAATGATGTTAATTCTTCCAATCAATGAACACAGTATATGCTACCATTTATTTGCATCTTTCTCAATTTCTTTCTTCAGTGTCCCATATTTTTCCAAGTACATGACTTTTACCTCCATGGCTAAATTTATTCCTAGGTATCTTTTCTTTGTTGTTGTTACAGTAGTAAATGGGATTGTTTTCTTAGTTTCTCTTTCTGATAGTCATTATTGGGTTCTCCCTTCTCATTATAAACATGCCATTGATTTCTGAGTATTGATTTTGTATCCCCAACTTTGTCGCTTCTAGCTGCTTTAAAAGAAATGCTGTAAGAAAGACAACTAGAGTAACTCTTTGAGAAAAATAATTTGAAAACGGTTAACCTAGATCTCAAGTATCATTTAGTATGTTGTCTATCATGGAAAGAACAACACATTCTGAAAAGGGTCAGTTGTATAATTCATTCATGGTCTTTTATAATTAATCCCAGTCTTGGGTAAATTATTAATTTGATGCCTCTCTTTATCACCTAGGAGTCCCGGCTGTTGTGGTGGCTATGACAATGGGAATCATTTTTTCTCAGAATCCTTCAGAGTGGGAGTTAAAATACCGGCAAGAAAAAATGTGAGTTTTTATTTTTTTAATGTCCATTTTTTTATATCAGTGTAAGTATTCGGTGCTGTTGAGGCCAAGGGTCAGTGAACATATGCATCACACTTTATAATTGTTATATTACAAGTGGGTATTTCAAATTTTCAAAGAACACATTGTATTTTAAATATGGTGATGTGAAAATTTCCTATGATAAATCCTTTGGTAAAGCATGTATTTACCTTCTGAATTTATAAATTTGAACTTTATTTTGTTAAATTGAATTTTTATTAAGCCCCAAAAATTATAGGACAAAATAGATTTAATCCTTAGTAATGACTTATCTTAGTTTTCTCATCTAGTAATGGGAATAACAATAATAGAAATATTTGCTTAGGGGTTACTGTGAGAGGTCCAACAAATGTGAAAACATTTCATATTTTTGAGAGCACTATCCATATTTATGAGTCAATTCTATGTTTATACGATTATAATGAATATTTCATTATGATTTATTACCCATAACACATTCTCCCTGTGGCTCTAGCATGAATAACCAATTGTTAATAATGGAAGTACCTGACTGTATGGAGTTTGCTTTTTATGTGGGGAGGAAGAGAAGAGAGCTGAGATACAACTTTTTACATGTATTTCTGCTGTCGAGTGACAACTGCTCTTTAATTGATTCTCCCTTCTCATTTTATAATCCAACAATTCTTATCCCCATATTCCACCTTAAGACCCAGACCAACTAAAAATAAAAATAAAGCTCTTGGAAATGTGCAAGTAGTGCCAAGGGAAAGCTGTGGAGTTAGGGCACTTACCTATTTCTAGGACTAACCATGCCCAGCTGTAGAACAGGAGACTATTCGTCTGATTTGATTTTAGAAGCCAAATACTTCAGGCACTATTTTCTTTGTTTAATCAGGGTTAACTATCTTTTAATGAGTTTTAAAATTTGAATTTCACAATTAGAGATCATAATTGGATGCAAGTATCTCATGGGAGAGGTAATTCAGTTCAAATTGCATTTTTAATTTTCTCCTCTAAACCAGGCACAGGGCTAGACTTACTCCTATAAAAGCCTTTAGGAGAAAGACTCTCTTTCTACTCTCTTAAATCTACTCTCTTAAATTTATTCATACTTAGCTATAAATAATTAAGAGAAGATTCTTTCCTGAGTACAATATTAGATGTTAAGGAAGACACTAGGTGACTGATAAGAGAAGTTGCGAAGAAAGGAAAGGATGTATAAGACTTGCCTCTTGTTAAACCCTTATCCCCCACCTTCCACCTTATACACAGACATCAAAGGTCACATTCCTTCAGGATATATTTAGAAAGAGGAGGGACTTCTTTGGTTTTCCTGAGTTATCATCCTCAATATCTCATGCTCTCCCCCACTGCTCCCTGCTTTGCCACTGATACCTGAAACCCCTAACCCAGTTCCCCTGATGTACTGCAATCATTGCAAGAAGGACCTAATTAAGGAGTAGGTACAGCACAGGCCACATTCCTCATTCATGCTCTGTCCCCATATTCTCTGCACTACCATCATATAGGCTGTTTCCAGACTTTCCTGAAGGGTTGGAATAATCATGAGAAATTATAATGAACAAAGGAGAAGATTATTCAACTAAATGCTGTGTATGCTAAAGCTGTCTTTGTGGTGTGCTTCATGGCAAAATCACCAAGGAGTTAAATCCTTCACCTGAGGTCTACTTATGATGCTCTCCAGACTTCAGGTCCATAGCTATTTGTCAGTTCAACCTTGACTGTGTGACTCTCCAAGCTCAACTCTCGAAGTCTTGCTCAATGCCTCACAATAGGGTTAGTTTCACAGTAGGATCCATCTCTCTCCTCAACAGTCTATTTCTCATAATCCAAGTTATTAAATTAAGGATGACAAAGGGAGAGGCTGTTGTGAGAACAAATTCAGCATGATTATCTCTCCAAGTACTACAAAGGATAGAGAGGGTGAGGAGTTCCCTCCTAGGGCACACTTCCTAAGGACCATGGGTATCCAAGCTTTTCCTCTTCCAGGTCTCCTCATCGGTGTTAGGTAATAGAGGAATCTTATAGACATTTGTACCCCCAACACACACGTCTATTGTGCAAATATTAATTCTCAGAAATTGTGTCATCTAAAGTTTACTCAAGACTCAAGACATACAGATAAGGATAAATACTTGTCTATTTGTTTCATAATTTGCAAGTCTCCTTTATCCAGTAGAGTTAGATTGTTCATTTTCTTTCTTGATTTCTTTTTAAACTCTGTTTCTTTAGGCTGCCTGGATAAGAAATTTATTCATCTTTTCCATTTAAAACTTTTGATGGCCACTTTTTTAGTCACCAAAGAAGCTTCTTGAGGTTTGAAAGTACTTCTTACCAGGATTTCATTAAATTCTTAGCCAAGTGCCCTCATTTCTTCTGTGTAGGGAAATGTGATATGGAGGGTGACAGGAGAGTTGTTCTCCAGTTACAGATGAAAGGAAAGGGAAGACAGAAGTTCTGAAGATAAACTTGCTCGCTCTCACCATTTTATTTAAGGATGGGCCTAGTCTATGTATCAGTGGGTTGGAGACACTCCTTTTCACTTTTTAATTTACTACAGAGTACATTTACTACAGAGTTTAATTTACTACAGAGATTGAACATCATTACAGTTTTCTTGAAGATCATTCAAATTAGAAATATGATTTGTAATAATTTAAACTATAGCAACAGTCCAAAGCAAAACAACTTAGAAATCCTTTAACATGCATAATAATGGTGTTTTACCTACAGGAGAAAGAAAACACACATTAATTGAATGCCAAATATATTCCAGAGCTTCTCACATCAATACCCAAGTGCCTACTTGACATCTCCAGTTGGCTGTCTAATAAGCCATCTCCTGGTCTTCCCTCCCAAACCTGCCCTTCCTATCGTCTTCCCCATCTCAGTTAATGGTAATTCCATTCTTCCAGGTACTCAGGCCAAAGACTTCGGAGTCATTCTTAATATTCCTGCATCTCACATCCAACCTATCAATAAAATAAATCATTTTGCTTTACTTATAAATATGAGGTCTGCCCAGAAAATATTCAGCCATGAACTATGAAAAATAGAAACATTTGTAGAAGATACTAGATACAAGAAACATTGTACATAGGACAATGATGCCTCAGTCCCCTTCAAAGTAGGCACCTTGGGATCTCACACATTTCTCCCAATTGCTATCAGATACCCTGTTGTATTTTCCTGAATCTCACTGACGGTCTGAAATCTCTTCCCTTTCAAAGGTGATTTTAGTTTTGGGAAAAGCCAGAAGTTGCAGGGAGCCAAATCTGAGCTGTAGGGGTTTTGAGTCACCTGGGTAATTTGATATTTTGCCAAACAACTCTGCATGAGACATGATGCATGAGCAGGCTTGTTTTCATGATGAAGTTGCCAATCACCAGTTGCCCATAGCTGTGTCCTTCTGAATCATCCAAAGAGTTTCCACAGAGTATTAATGCAAAATTTGATGCAGATTTGTTGCTCTACTCACTCAGCCATTTTGAATATGACAGCCACACAGTACACATGTTCACTCAATGGCATCTACCATCCCCACCAGCTAGTGCACTGAAGCCATCATTGTTCACAAACGTGCATTTCAGTCCACTCTCCTTGACTGCCAGGTTACAGCAATGTCCCGTAAACCATTCTTGTTATATTAACAATGGTTGGACTTTTTCCAGGCAGCCCTCATTTATCTGGAACCAGACTATTTCTTTTTCTTTTTATACATTGAATTTATTGAGGTGATATTGGTTAATAAAAGTATGTAGGTTTCAAGTGTACAATTCTATAATACATCATCTGTATGCTGCCTTGTGTGTTCAATATCCCAAGTCAAGTCTCCTTCCATCACCCTATACCCTCTTCTACTTCCCCCACCTCCTTCCCTGCTGGTATCAACATGCTGTTGTCTGCGTCTATGAGTTGTTTTTTTCTTCTTAATTCCTTCATCTTTCTCTCCCCCTCACCTCTCACAGCTGTCAGTCTGTTCTTTATGAGTCTGTTTCTATTTTGTTCATTAGTTTATTACATTCACTAGATTCCACATATGAGTGAAATCATATTGTACTTGTCTTTCTCTGACTGGTTTATATCATTCAACATAGTGCTCCCCAGGTCCATCCATGAATTGCAAAGTGTAAGATTTCCTTCTTTTTTATGGACAAGTAGTATTCATTGTGTATTCTACTTGTCCATAAAAAAGTAGTATTCAATGTATCATAGCTTTTTTTATACACTCACATACTGATGGACACCTGGGTTGCTTTCAAATGTTGGCAATTGTAAATAACACTGCAATGAAATGTAGGGGTACATATATTCTTTTGAATTTGTTGGAAACAGACTATTTCTTAACATCCCTTGTCCTGGTCCAAACCACCAGATTGTTGCAATAAACTCCTAGTGGATTTCCTCCTTTTGCATCCATTTTTCTCTTATTTTTGCATGTAGCTAGAGTAATACCTTTAAAACTTGACATATTATATCAGGTTTCTCTTTCTTGCCAGGAGTACATACAATCACCTATAAAGCCTTGACATAATTTACTTCTTTTCACTAATCCTTCTACTTATTTGTTCTAGCCACTCTGGCCTCTTTGCTGTTCCATAAGCTCTAAACTCAGGGCCTTTACACTTGCTGTTTCCCATGCCTGGAATCCCCTTCCCCCTCATCTACTTCAAACCTTTGCTTAAATATCAGTTTTCCCCCCCATAAGGCTTTTCCTGACTGCCGTATTAAAATAAACCCTCCTCCCCACCCACACACAGTCATACCTACCTTTATTATCTGCTTCATTGTTCTCCACAGCACTTCTCACCATCTGGATTGTATATATTTTATTTATTTGTTAGTTTTACCTGTTTCTCTGTGCTAGAATAAATTCACTAAAGAAGGGATTTAGTTTTTTTTCCACTGCTGATATCTTGGTGTCTAAAATGGTGTCTGGCACATAGCATATTCTTTAAATACTTATTAAATGAACGAATGAATTCTTACAACAATGCCAGCAGATGATTATTATACCTCATCGATGAGAAGGAAACATCACCAGACTACAACCACAAATAGCAACAACAAAACAAACAAAAATTGATGCAATGGGGTTAAATAACTACCCAAACATTTTAAAACTTAAACCTTTCAAAATGCAAATTAATAAGTGACTTTAAATAATCTATGATATAGCAAAATAATGGAATAATATGTAGTTCTAAAAATAATGAGGACAAAGCTCTGCATCACTAGCCATTAGAGAAATGCAGATCAAAACCACCATGAGGTACCACCTCACACCGGTCAGAATGGCCATCATAAACAGATCCACAAACAACAGGTGCTGGCGAGGCTGTGGAGAAAAGGGAACTCTAGTCCACTGTTGGTGGGAATGCAGACTGGTGCAGCCACTATGGAAAGCAGTGTGGAATTTCCTCAGAAAGCTGAAAATGGAACTGCCTTTTGATCCAGCGATTCCCCTGCTGGGACTATACCCTGAGAACACCAAAACGCCAATACAAAAGAACCTATGCACCCCAATGTTCATAGCAGCACAATTTACAATAGCCAAGTGTTGGAAGCAACCTAAATGCCCATCAGTAGATGATTGGATCAAAAAATTATGGTACATATACACAATGGAATACTACGTAGCAGAAAGAAAAAAAGAAGTACTAAACTTCGCAACAGCATGGATGGAACTGGAGAGCATCATGCTAAGCGAAATAAGCCAGGGGGCGAAAGACAAATACCATATGATCTCACCTATAAGCGGAACCTAACCAACAATGCAAAGAAGCAAGGCAAATATGGCCAGCAACACTGAAAGGAAAAGAAATCAACAGAGACAAGAGGGAAGAGGGGGGCAGGGAAAGGGAAGGGAAGGGGAAAGTCAAGGAACATATAGCAAGGACTCATGGACAAAACCAAAGGGGAAGAGCTGAGGGAGGGAAGGTGGGAGGGGGCAAGGGAAAGGGGGGGGGAAGGCAGAGACAAATGTATTTAAAAAGTAAATAAATTAATAAAAAAAAATAAATAAATAAAAATAAAAATAATGAGGACAGTCTTTGTATTCTGGCATAGAATGATCTCCAAGATATGTTGTTAAGTAAGGCATAGAAGTATCATGTGTTATCATTTGTTTGAACATCAGGAAAAAATTTACATTTGCTGGTGTATTCATAGCCTAAATCTGGAAGAATACACAAGAAACATTGATTACCACTGGAGACAGACAGTAGGTGACTATGGATAATTGTAGGAGGGGATCTTGTCTTTCTATGAATGTTTACACCATTTAAATTTTGAGCCATCTAGATGTGCTACATATTAAAAAATAAAATAAAATAATAACTTGCTTCAATTCAGACAGACATCTAGTAAGTGACAGAGAGTGATCTTTAAATTTGGGACTGCCTGACTCAAAAGCCCGTTTTCTTTCCACTAGCCAATACTGTTTCCTAGAGGGTAATGGCAGAACCAATGCATTTCATTTTTCTAGTAGGCCGAATTCTTGGAAGTCATCTCAAATATATATGTTGCAAAGGGATATTGTCTTTTAGTTGAGTGAATGTCAATAATGATAATAACAAGGAGAAACATATGTATACCCTTCTTAGTCTTCTGAAATAATTTCTTTTCTCTCCACAGCTGCTGGCTGGCAGTTTTGGATGGCAAAGATTTTATAAGAAGTCCATTGTTGTGGTCACTCATTCTACCTGTGACCATTATCCTCATCATCAATGTTGTTATATTTATTGTCATTTTAGTCAAAGTGCTGTGGAAGAATAACCAGAATCTGACAAGGTAAGATTCCCAGAGAATGGGAAGCTGCCCGACATGACTCACTGAACGCACAATAAGTACTGTAATACACCTATACTTCCTAGAGGAGTTTCAGACTCTGGGACAACGGCAGGGGCATGTGGTTTGCAGGAGAGATTTTCTCTTAAATTTTGTCTCAGAGAGTGGATCTTCCCATCTTCCCACATCAGCACTACATGTGGGTCTGCTGCATTACATAGCACACGTTCATGCTACCGGAGCCCAACTGAAAAACGCAACACAAAATTTCTCCCAAATAGTCAATAAATCAGATTTGAATAAAGAAATGATAGGATTGTGAATAGATGCTGATAACTCTATTTTTACTTTAGAAACTAGTGTCTATAGGCTATGTTTTACATGTGTTGCTTGAATCACATAATGGACTTATATTTTTTAATTACTTGTGAACATATAATAATAGGGAAATTTCACTTAAAATATATTTTTTCTTGAAAAAAAGGAACATCTGGCAACATTAAGCCCACATCCCCTGCAGATGGGGCACATGCTCTGGTTTATCAGTTCCCATGTGGACTGCTTCTCTCCTTTATATATCCTTTCTGACCTCAGTAAGTATTGCATTTTCATTGTCATCACTGATTATCTATCTATCTATCTATCTATCTATCTATCTATCTATCTATCATCTATCTATAGATATATAATATATAATATGTATTAAATACATATTAAATACTATTAAATACATATACCCTCTCCCCAATATCCCACAGCACAAATTGGTTAAAACACAGTGCTAATGAGGCTATGAATTCAGCTTTAATCCTATAAGACTCTGCTTAGCCCAAGTAACTGACTATAAGCACATCTGTGACCTTTGCTGTTTACCAAATTAATTTGGTATGAAGAGATGGGTGAAAACTACTATCATCAGTGGGGATATAATCTTAAATATGTGATTTAAGATATGTAAATACTGATCCAGAGTAGTATCATTTTTCCTTTATAAATGATAGTCCATATGAGGGAAATATGGAGAAAGATTATGAGTGATAATCATTCAAAACTATGTCTTATTAGAAATGCAGAAAAATCTTGGTGAAGTCTTCTCAGCCTAATTGCAAATTAGGTTATGTTTCCTTTATGCAGAACTATCATTTTGGTCTCAGGCATCAACCAAATTTGTCTTTCTAAATTTTGGCTGATAGTGTATGGTTCCTAAACTGGCTTAGTTACTATGAAAAGCAGGTTACAATTTAATTGTTTAACCAGTTATCTTTCATGTATCAGTTAGCTATTGCTGCATTACAAACTACCCCAAAACTTAATGGCTTACAATGACAAATATTTATTGTTTGTCATAAGTTGGAGTGTGGGTTGGGCAGTTGTCCTGGTTTTGGCTGGCTTGAATGTGAATCTAGGATGACTCACTCTCATAGTTAGTGGCTGGTTGGTCTTGAGTGGTAGCTGCTCAGTGGGAAAAACTCATCTCTCTTCATTGTGGTCTCTCAGTCTGCATTAAACTAGTCCAGGCTTCTTAACACAGTGGTTTCAGGGTTCCAAAGAGCAATAAGAGAAAGCACGCTCTAATGAAAAAAATGCTTTCAAGTCTCTACTTGTGGAACAGTTGCTGATGTCTCACCAGTCAAGGTGAGACATTAGCAATTGTCTCACTATCACGGGAAGAGGATCACTCCACACTTTAATAACCTCTCATTCTCATATCAGCTTACATCATGGGAAGGTTCCAGATGCCCCCCAATTTCTCACTAGCTGATCCAGGAGTAATAATCACCAAAGTAAATTTCTCTTCCAAAGAAATAATTGATTCTTTGTGAAATTTGCCTGTAAGTATTGAAGGAACTGTTTATGCCTGATACAAGTATCACTGTATTTCTTAATAAAGCTTGCTAAATCAGATTCTGTGCAGCAAGGCACAGGTCTAACGTCATTTTTCCACCAGAGGCATAATATTGTTAAATGAACAGTGTATGTGGGCAGCTGAATATATATTCTCAATAGCAGGGTAACAATGGCATTAATAAGAAAAAAAGGAATGGACCTTATTGTTTTTTCTTGCTTTCTCTTGCCTAGCACAAAAAAGGTTTCATCGCTAAAGAAGATTCTTAGCACATTATCTATTGCAGTTGTTTTTGGAGTCACCTGGATTCTGGCATACTTGATGCTAACTGATAATCAAGATATCAGGATCATCTTCAGCTACATATTCTGTCTTTTCAACACTACTCAGGTATGGTGTGGATTAGTCTGAAAGTAGGAGATGCTGAATCAAAGTTTTCCCCATTTAAGACTCCCCGAAGGTCATTTCTTTGTACTTTTAGGAGATTCTTTTTTAATCCTTTGAGGGAAGACAAAGGAAAGCTCTTTATGACTTACCTACTATATTCTTTCCTGTGCTGAAGTACATAGAATATATGTGCAATAAGGTTGGATCACGCCAGTCCTTCTCCTCTGGGCAGAAGAAATATTGTCAGGCAAATAGCTTGGGGAGCGCTTCCTTTCCTTTTCTCCCATACAACAGCTTCACAGAAGCTCCCCACAGTAGTTGTATGGACAATGTCACAGTTATTGCTGGAAGTTGGGTCCATGTGGGGTGGGCTGAATTTTCTATTGTTCCCTCTTTTTAAAATTTTATAAGATTATTTACTTTTTCTTTTAAAAAATGTATGGAGGAATCATTGGAAATACTTGACAAATATAATCATATACATCAAGTGTACAATGTGATGATTTGATATACATACACATTGTAGAATGATTACCAAGATTAACATAATTAACAATCCATATCACATAGTTAACTTTATTTTTTATTTTTATTGTTGTTCAATTACACTTGTCCCCATTTTACCCCATTGCTCTCCTCTGCCCTACCCACCCTCCCACGTTCAATCCTCCCCCGACCCAGTTGTCTTTGTCCGTGGGTCCTTTATACATGTTTCTCACATAGCTAACTTTTTAGACTGTGTGGTGAGAATGCTTAACTACTCAGCAACTTTCTAGTATACAATATCATATGATTAATCAGAGTCACCATGCTCTACATCAGATTCTCAGAAATTATTCTTTTTATAACTGAAAATTTGCGTTCTTTAACCTACATTATCCCATTTCCCCCTTCCTCCAGCACCTGGCAACTAGCATGCTATTCTTTCTCTATGAAGTTGGCTTTTTAAAAAAAAGATTCACATATAAGTAATACCATAGAGTATTTGTCATTTTCTATCTGACTTATTTCATTTAGCATGATGCCCTTCAGGTTCATTCATGTTTTTGCAAATGGTAGAATGTCCTTGTATTTTATGTCTGAATAGTAATCTATTATTTATAGATGTGTAATAAATATATAATATAAATTTATAAGCTTATTTATAAATATATATATATATATATATCATGTTCTCTTTTTTTTGATCCTTACCAGAGGATAGATCTATTGCTTTTAGATGAGAGGAGGGTGGGGGAACACACACACACACACACACACACACACACACACACACACACTGATCTGAGAGAAACATAGATTGGTTGCATCTCATACATGTCCTGGCCTGGGACTGAACCCCCAACCTAGGTTTGTGCACTGACCAGGGATGGAACCTGCAACCTTTTGGTGTATGGGACAATACTCCAACCAATTGAACCACCCAGCCAGGGCACATTTTCTTTATCATTCACCAATGAAAAGACATTTAGGTTGTTTTCATATATTGTCTATGGTGAATAATGCTTCAGTAAACATGGGTGTGCAGCTATCTCTTCAAGATATGGATTTCATTTCCTTTGGCTATATATCCAGGAGTGAAATTGCTGGAATATGTGGTAGCTCAAGTTTTAACTTTCTGAGTAACTGCCATACTGTACCAATTTACATTCTCACCAAAAGTATGTAAAAGTTTCTTTTTCTCCACATCCTCAGCAACATTTTTATCTCTTGTCTTTTTGATAATTGACATCCTAACAGATGTGAGGTGATATCTCACTGTGATTTTGATTTGTGTTTCCCTAATAATTAAAGATGTCAAACACATTTTCATGTACCTGTTGGCCATTTGTATGCATTCTTTTTTTTTATAAAAATTTTATTTATTTATTTTTAGAGAGAGAGGAAGGGAGGGAGAAGGGGAGGGAGGGAAACATCAATGTGAGACAGAAACATTGATTGGTTAACTTGCAACCCAGGCATGTGCCCTGACAGGGAATCAGATCAGCAACTGCTGGCTTTGTAGGAAGATGCTCAACCAACTGAGCCACATGGGTCAGGGCTATGTGTCTTCTTTGGAAAAATGTCTATTCAGGTTCTTTGCTCATTTTAAAATTATTCATTTTTTCTATTGTGTTGCATGAATTCCTTTTGTATTTTGGATATTAATCCCTTATCAGGTATATAGTTTGCAAATATATTCTCCCATCCTGTAGGCTGCCTTTTCAATTTATTATTTTCTTTGCAGTGCAAAAGCTCTTTAGTTTGGTGTAGTCCTGCTTGTTTATTTACTTTTGGATACCTGTGCTTTTGGTGTGTTAGCCAAGAAATTGTTGCTATGACCATTATCGAGGATCCTTTTCCCAATGTTTTCTTCTAGAAGCTTTATGGTTTCAGGGCTTACATAAGTCTTTGATCCACTTCAAGTTAACTTTTATCAGTGATGTAAAATTGTAGTACAATTTCATTCCTTTGCATGTGAATATCCAGTTTTCCCAACATCATTTATTGGAGAGATTATCCTTTCCCCATTACGTGTTCTTGGTGCCCTTGTCAAATTAGTTAACCATACATGCATGGGTTTATGGGTGTATGTCTGGCCTCTCCACTCTGTTCTACTGGGTACATGCCTATTTTTTTATGCCAATACCATACTGTTTTGACTACTATAGCTTTGTGATATAGCTTGAAATTAGGAAGTATGATGTCTCTGACTTTGTTCTTTTTCAGGATTGCTTTGGCTACTGGGGTCTTTTGTGGTTTTATACAAATTTACGATAGTTTTTTTCTACACCTGTGGAAAATGTTATTGGAATTTTGGTAGGGATTACATTAAATCTATATTGTTTTGGGTAACATGAACATTTTCACAGTATTAGTTTTTCCAACCCAAGAGCATAGTCTAACTTTCCATCGATTTGTGTCTTCTTCAATGTCTTTCATCAATGTCTTATTGTTTTAGGTGTATGGGTATTTCACTTTCTTGGGTTAAATGTATTACTAATTATGTAATTGTTTTTGGTGCTATTGTAAATAAAATTGTTTTCTTAATTTCTCTTCTTGTTAGTTTGTTATTAGTGTATAGAAATGCAATTGGCTTCTGTGTGTTTATTTTGTATCCTGCAACTTTACTGAATTCATTTTTTTAGTTCTAACTAGTTTTTGGTATAATCTTTTGATTTTTCTATACATAAAATTTTACAAGAGAGTTGGTTTAATAGGAGCAAAACCTTATGAAGTTTTTTTCTGTGACATAATTATACATAGGACTGAAGATGCTCTTATTTCTTGAGTCTTATCTCAAGGATATATTTAATCATAAATCTTTTAAAGAACATTTTATTCGTACTTTGTTTTAAAATTAAAAATTAAGATTTATGTATTTTTTCCTTTGGAAACCATCCTATTAACATTTTGAGAATCTCTACTATAAGAAGCTAAACATTTAGACAAAGTATTATGGTTATCTTCTGATTTTCATCATGGCAAAAATAGTGATATAGATGATCAAAATGGTAGATTAAAAATAATCCTGTTTGACCTCAGAGGAGTTTTGTTTTTATACTTTTGTATTTGTGTATTATGTAGGTAAGTGTCAAAAATTTAAGATAAAACAAAGATTTATTATTAAAGGACCTATCTTGAAATCCGGATTTCTCTCCATGCTTTTTATTCTGTGCTTCCTCCTGGGGCAAATGTTGCCTTTTGCTCTGGTGAAAAATATTACAAGGACTTTTCCATCTATATATGAAGTCTTTCCTTTCCTGAGCTGGCAGAGTGAATTATATTTCAATATATTAAAATTACCTCTCTTTGAGTCTCCGTACTACACCAGGATCATTTGTGTGTAATCACTGAATCACCTGTATAGGCAAGGAAAGGAGTTCACTTCTTATATTCCAGAACTCCAACCTTAAAAGAAAAAAACAGTTTCTAAATTCCACATATTTTGTATTGCTTACAAAATTTTTCCATTGGATGTTTACTGAGACTACCTTCTGACAATATCTTTATATGTCACACATGTACTTTTTAAAGGTAATAGATTTAGTTTTCAAATTATTTTTATAAAATCTTATTTGCCTTTAATTTGTTCACCAAAGACTGAGAAAGACATGTAAGACTTCTTTTTACACTAATTTTCTACCAATTTTTCTTATAACATTTAACTGTCTTCTATAATTTAATGCTGTATTATTGTGTTCCTAGAAATTAATGGATGTTGTATATTTCTCGTACATTTTACCTTTTATCAATATAACCAGTCACTTTCAGTCCCATTTTGTGTTGAAATCTGATTTACCATATGTTAATGTAGCATCTTCTATTTTGTGTTTATTTGATTTTATTTAATGTATTTATGCTAGTTCTTTCACCTTTAAGTTTTCTGTGTCACTTTGTTCTTGACATCTCTTTTTAGACTCTATATATTTAGATTAAAAAAATATATTTTCTCATTGTTTTCCATTTTATTGAAAAAGTTAAACTTTTTAGCTATTTAGCTATCAAAACTAATATGTTTAACCTTGTTTTGTTATCTTATTTCCTTTTTTCACATTTAACCCTGATTTTTCCTTAGTTTATATATTGTGCTATATAATTGTGTTCTCTTTTACTTAACCTTCTCTAATAATTAGAACAACTTTATTTTGTTAATTATTATCTTTGTTCATTAAACATTACTACAATTGATAACAGTTTTCAATTTCCAGAGTAAAACAGTATATACTGATTCCTCCCTTTTTAGGGTAATAATATTAACACAGTTTACCTGCTTCCTACCCCCTGGTTTTATTAGTACAATTTAAAATTTATCTTTGGTGCGGGGGGGTGTTTCTCCCCATTCTTACACCATCCCTTAAATTTTTTTGAAATAACTTTGGACTCACAAGAACTTACTAAAACAGCGCCAAGTTCCTATGTACGCTTCACCCAACTCTTCTAGCGACAACATCCCATATAACCATAAAACGTTCTCAAACCAGGGAAATTGAAATTGGTACAATCCATGTAGATTATTTATTTATAGACTCTCATCCTTGAAGTGATTACTTTAATTCTAGCTTTATTAACATAACTGAAGTAAAGTGGAAGTATTATAGTTTTGTAAATTCATTTATTCCATTTCTTCTTGTACTCAAAAATTAACTTCTTATACATAGAAGTCTTATCTCCTCAACTAGATTATTAGTTCTCTAGTGCAAGCCACATGCTTGTATATATTTTTTGCACCAGATAACATCTTTTTAAAAGATTTTATTTATTTATTTTTAGAGAGAGGGGAAGGGAGAAGTAGAGGGAGAGAAACATGAGTGTGTGGTTGCCTCTTGATCACCCTCTACTGGGGACCTGGCCTGCATCCCAGGCATGTGCCCTGACTGGGAATTGAACTGGTGACCCTATGGTTCGCAAGCCAGTGCTCAATCCACTGAGCCACACCAGCCAGAGCAGATAACATCTTGTTTGATATCAGGATGGGCTATGCTTCTCTAATATTTTGTGAAGTAAACTGTGCTGTTTGGTGAATGTCTCATTAAGTTGCTAAGAGTAGTAACCACTGTGTGCAGTTGATATATTGGTTGTTTCTGGCTCTGGTCAAATATTACCGAGGAGGGAGGTCTGATACAAAATGGAAATCATTGGGAAGGGCCTTAGATAAATTTGACTTGACTGCAAATGATGAGGCATCTCTATAGTGCAGTGTGGAGAGCTGCTTGTCTGTATGAATTGCTAACATCTCAATTAATGTTTGTAAGCTCCTTACCCTCCATCCTAGGTACCCTCCTCAGAGCCTTTTGTGACTAACTCCCTTAAACAATGGAAGTGTGCCTTCTGCTAAATTTAAATGGGTATAAGGCAGTTCTTTACTGTTGGCAATACCCAATGGAAACTCCCCAGAAGGGCAATAACTGGGGTAAACTTAGTTTGGGATTGTCAATTGACCATTGGCTTATTACCTGGAGTGGCCAGGAATTTAGAAAAGTATCTAAAAAAAAGATATGAAGAAGGATATTCTCTTCTCCATGCATAGGAGAGTCACATTATAAAATAGAGGCCCATTACAAAATATTCATACTACATAGTAAAATTGAGAGGGGTCATGTAGCAAGAGCATTGGATTAAAAGTCAAGATACTTAGGCTGTCTTTTAGCTTTAACATTAGTGATTCACATGATTTTAGGTAAATCACACAACCTCTATGAGCGAGGTATGTAAAATATAAAATGGAAGGGGGTGTTAAAATTGACTCAGTGTTCTTCAAAGTGGGTGTGAATACTGCCTACATTAGAATGTACCTAGGTGTTAAAATGCTGATTCCTGGGCAGCCTCCCCCCTCAGTCAGAGTCTACAGGGTAAGAACCAGGACTTTCCCCTTTAAACAAATGCCCAGGTGATTATTATGTACATTAAAGTGTATGAATGACTAGATTAGTTTATATGTAAAGTTCTTCCTAGATTTATAGTGCTATAATGCTAATAAACATTTATTTGTTAAGTGCCACAGATATTACTCAATAAGTACAATTTGATCTTTGTGCGAGTGATAATTAGTTTGACCCATACATTTTTATTTGTCTTTTCAAATAACACCTTTGGAATTTTAGAGAGCACAGAAATATTGGGATTCCACTCAGACAGAGTGCCACAGGATAGTGTCTTCATGGACTCTCCTTAGTCTATGTCTTTTCCTAATTATTGTACAATCAGAAATTCTATCCAGTGTTGTCTTTGACTTAGAATTTAAATTATGGAAAAGTCAGATGATATGGTGTAGCCCACAAAGAGGAGCTTTTCTAGAAACCAGATTTCTCATGTTTCCAAAACAAATTTCTCTCCCTTGAACAATCAGGATGGCCAATGACCACTTTTGTCCTTCTGAAACCTATGTCCCCATGCACACTTCCTTGTGTCATCAAGGCCTTCTTCAGATGAATTAGATATGACCTGTTGGTTGACAATCAAGTTATCTTCCTACTTTTGTCCAGTGAACTAATCTATCTCTTGCCAATAAGTATTGATTCTATTAGTCAAACTCAAGAGTCTTTGAATTATCTTACCACAACATCAGATATAAATCCTTATAAGGCTTGAGGTCATATAGATACCAATCTGGGAGACATTGATGGGTATTTATATTTAATAACTTTTTATTTTGAAATAGTTTAATACAAGAAGTTGCAAAAGTAGTACAGAGTTCCCATGTGCTCTTTGTTCAGCTTTCCCTAATGATAATACTTGTATAACCCCAGTATCTCGTCAGAATCAAGAAATAAACATTGGCACAATACTATCAACTCACCTACACATATTATTTAATTTGTTAAGTTTGGGGAGTTGTGAATGATAAGAAAACGGTGGGTGGCAGGGTGAAATAAAATCTATTCCCTGATTCTGTATCTCACCACTTACCTAAAATAAGCTTTTTTTTCTATCTGCCAGGGACTGCAAATTTTTATCCTCTACACTGTCAGAACAACAATCTTCCAGAAAGAAGCTTCCAAAGTGTTGAAGTCGTTGTCGTCATCCGTTGGGGGAGTGAAGTTGCTGCCAGGGGCACCCTCACTGAGGCTGCGAACGAGGATGTATAACATGCTCAAGTCCTGGCCAGCACTGAATGAACACTTCCGGCTGCTGGAGCCGTCCGTGGTTACGGAGGAAACGACACTCTCTGAGAGTGACCAAGCAAGCACAAGCATTTAGACAGTAAAACTGTTGCCTTCTGTGGTCCTTTTTATTCAACTTGTGTGACTTTTGCTTTTTCTATTTCCTTCCTTTAGTACTCAGTCCTTCTAGAAAGTCACCCTCAATATATTTTGCTCAAGGTCAAAAGTCAGGTACAACTTGTTGTTTATTATCATCAGGAATAATGGATTTGATAGTTTTTCTATTATTCAACAGATTCTTCCTAAATGATTGGAAGAATTCCACCCAGCATTCAAGATAATTTAAGATTATCAGTGCTCCTATGTCATAAAGTCTATGTGACAAACTTTGAAAAAAATGTAGTGCCTAAGCAAATTTTTCTCTTCATGTCCTTTTTAATATGAGGAGAAAAATTTACCACCTAGAACAAAATGATTTCTGATGAACACAGCAAAGAGTTGCTTGTATCTGTGAATATTTAAAATTGGTACATGCTTATATTTTACAATTAAGAATTTTGCACCAATTTAACCTCTGGAAAGGGAATTTGTTGTGTTATTAAAAAAAAAAATCACGTTTATGACCAGAGGATTTGTCTCTATGAGAAATATGCAGTGAGACATAGAAAGATTAGCTGGTTACTAAAGCCTTTGGATATTTCTTTCCAGTTCTTGATATATCTGCCCTTTTATCGATGAAATGACACCAAAACTCACACAATGAAAAACTTTGTCACAGTCACCCCTTATGGCTTTTAAAAGATCTAACTACTCACAAAATTTCAAACACTTGAATTTTTAATGATTTCCTAAATTTAAAAAAATGATCTCTAATGGGGTGGGGAATACTCCCATTGTCATCAGGAGATACAATCTTTGAATCGCTCTGTTCTGTTTTGTCGTAAACTAAGCAGCTGCTGTGAGTACACTGAGCTAGGGGACTAACAAAAGTCAGGTGAGCTGTGGCGTAGCCTCCTCACCACACGCTGAAGTGCATGTGCTTTTTATAGAACTGGTTGTAAATGACTGTTGGATTCCTAGGCAAGACAACAAAAGCCTCTTTCATCTGGAGGATAGTTGACACCTTACAGGATAATTAAAAGAAGTTAAGGGAAAGAATAAAGAAGAAAAGCAGTTCTCAGGGGTCAGTGTTTTTAGTGGTGTTACAGTGCTAGGCCTAGATAGGGGCTGGACATGGAAAATTATAAGATGTGGTTTACCTACTCTATGTCCCAAAATACATATTCAGGTGAAAATAAGTTTTACATAAGGGCCATTTTAAATGTGGGGAAAAAATTACCAAAGAGCCACATTTAGTCTGAGGGTGGAGTATATATGTTCCCTTGATGATTTTAGTGTTTTTTGTACTCTTTCAGCACTCTTGGAATATAGCAACCAGAATTCCATATAATGTTTCTGGAATGACTGTATCATAAAAGTGCAAGCTCCACATGTATATTGTAGAGGCTAAATCTGGCAGACTTGGCAGGCATTGATGGAACTACCCTGAAATCCTACCACTAGGAAGTAATTCTACTGAGCTAAGCCTTTACCTCACTCACTGGTCAGGAATCTTTTCATTTGGTGATAGAGATCCAGCTCTAACTAGATTAGGGTCAAAGAGAATTTAATGGCTCAATTAACTGTAAAGTCCAAAGGCTGAGTTGGTCTTAGATAGGGTGACTGTATGTCTTGATTTGCCTGGGCCAGTCCCAATTTGTGCCTGTTGTCCTGACTTAAGTATTACTAGGATCCCCTTTTACCCTCAAAGCGTCCTGGTTTGGGACATAAAATATATGATAGTGTTAACCTGACGTTTAGAGTTCAAACGCAAAGAATTTAAAGAATGTGTCAAGGTTCTGTCTCCCTGGTTTTTGGCTCTTTGTGCTCCTGTGTTTGGCTGCATTCTCAGATTGGGTAAACATGGGTGGGAATTGGCCATTGGTGCCTCCACCCTTCTGCCTTGCAACCTCCCATCAGTGTCTCCCATTGGCTGCAGCCAGCCAGCCAGAAGCCAGCTCAGCCAGGAACCAGGAGGGCTCAGTCCCCTGTGATACGGAGCAAAGCAGGGGTAGGGGGAGGAAAGGACCTAAGACTGGCACACCTTGCTTGGTCGTGTGCCCAGAGGCATTGTATTCGGGAGATATTGGTCCAGCCTGGATCACATACCTACTGTGCAGTGGAGGAATGTGGGACCACTTGGTTGACAGGATATCCTGAAGTGGAGAATGGACAGTTACACCAAGGATGGGATGCCACCAGCATCCATGACATCTCCTGACAAAGTACAAGTACCCCCTTGGGAGGACAACAACTTTCAGGCCCATCAATCATTTCTCTTGCTCTGAATGAGCCTATTAGATCCTTTCTGAGAAGGGTTTATGGGGTCCTTAAGGAAAGCAAGGAATCATTTGTTGTCTTGGAATTTGAGAAGCAAGGACAGAGACTATAGAAGTGGAACAGTGACTTACTTAAAAAAAAATTTTGGGAAAGGAAGACTCAGATTACTACAGAATTGGTTTTTGTGATATTATTATATATGGGGCCAACTTTTGTGGTTCTGATTTATATTGTGTGATAACTGTGCCCTATAACCTCTGTGATTGTGGCAGCAAATGTAGTTTCTTTTAGGAGCAAATTATCCTGACCTTCGGATTTCCTTTCCTGGGTCTAAACTGACAGTTGGACCTCACCATTTAATTGCCAGAGTCTGGATTGCTTTCCTTCTGATTCTTCCCATTTTAAAGGTTATCTTGCCTCTTTTTTTCTATCACCATCAGAGATTATTCTCAAAGTCATTGCTCTCAGATGGTCATTGCCTCATTGGAAGAGCTTGGCATTCTTTTCAAACATGTGGGAAACCCAGGCCAGAAGTGCTGACTCAGTTATACCAGCCTGTCAACCACTGGAGCTCTCTGGCTCTGTGGAAGCTACTTAATGCAACACTGGGTCTTTCAGTATGTGATTCGTCAGATGAGGCCTAGGATAGAGCCACCAGGATTAGGTTCTACCCTGAGGTCAAAGGTGCAGGAGTGGGGATGGGACAGGTTATATTTATATTTTTAGAACACCATGCTAACCATTTTATGATGACTTTAAAAGATACAATGTATTTTTTAAAGCTAAATCCATAAATCCCCAACCAAATATATCAATAATGTTTGTTTTCCCCTATTCCTCTATGCTCTTTATTTGATTATATGAGAATGTTAAGTAACTGTAATTATAGTAAATGAAATTTTATTCTGATTTTTCACTTAAAATGACCCAGTAACACAGTCCTTATAATAATGAATGATTGAATAATATAGCATAGCTTACTAAGTTGTTATAGTATAGGATATCTACATTGTTTCCATTTTTTAATATTATAGTGACACATGAGTTAATTAGTACATATATTTTTTCTTTCTTTTTAATTATTTCTTTAAGATAAATTCTCAGGAAGGAGTTCCTTTTTATTGGAGTTATGAGCCCTTTTCCTATTACATTTTCTGAAAGTATTTCCCCTCTTTTTATTGCTTTATTCTCTTTTTAGTATAATGAAATGATCACTCTGTATTTAATTCAAAGTATCCAAAACATTTATAGATCATTTAACAATTTTTGAGTTTATATTTCCTTATACAGAGAGATTATATTTCATTTAGGGTTAAGGAATATGTTAGGGACTATGTAAGAAACTTGTAAAGTGAAGAACAGGGGCATAAAAATGCCAACCGAGGCCAAATGAATCCTATATGACAGGCACCAGGCATGTCTAACCCTTCATTATATCGGTCAGCAGTTGAACTGGGTTCCATGACAAAGTTATTTTTCTTCTCAAATATGTGTTTTGAGTATTTGTGTCCATCTACCTAAATTTTGGAGAAGAGAGGAATACATTTTATTAGCAATTAGTTATTAACACAAAAGATTCAAAGTAGTGTTACATATGCATCACCTATATTACTTCATTTTTATATAGGTAACCTATTAAAATGTGTACTTGAAAATAATATATAACAGTTGCTGAAAAACTGATTAAGAAATCAGGAGGAAGGGAAAATAATCATAGTAAGAAGTCAGGGATAAGATTAATACCCAAGAAGCATGTCATATGGTCTTGTCCTTTTGTTAGGAGTGGGCCACAGATTAGACCATAGCTTCCTGACACCCTCCATAAACAGAAACAGGATCACACAAGTCACGCATCTCTTAACAATGAAACAAACATTTCTTGGGAAAACATAGTTATTCCACTACTACTTGAAATTGGTAATAAGTTTTCTTGAAAATGTCCATGTGGGCATATTACCAAATGAGAAGGCAAACTGTTTTGAATGAACGGAAAGGCTATCACATTTGGAAATGCAGCAGGTTCACATCCATGCTTGCCAGTTTGCTAAGCGCACACTAAACAGTCATGGTAATGTTCAATGTTACTCCAAAGTTATACAATACTATGTATGTACAACAACACATTAATGTGGGATAAGAACCTTCAGTATCACAAATGGGTCACTGAAGACTGTTTTGTTCTTTTAAAAATATTAAAGTGGTTTCCTTATTTTGGCAATTAGAGTTAGCTTCCTGTTTGCTTTGGCAGGGAGCTTGCTCTTTTTTTTTTTTTTTTTTACTTTTTAAGTTAATTTTATTGATATATAATTTACATAAAATAAAATCACCCATTTTACATGTACAATTAGATGACTTTAAAAAATGTATACACTTGTGCATAAAAGTGTATTCCACCACCCCAAACAAAATTAAGAACATTTCCGGCCATGACCAGTGTGGCTCAGTTGGTTGGGTGTGTTGTCCTGCAAAGCAGAAGGTCACCGGCTCAATTCCCAGTCAGGGCGCATGCCTGGGTTGCAGGTTTGGTCCCAGATCACGTCTATGTTTCCCTCTCTTTCTCCTTCCCTTTGTCACCAGCCCTGGGCAACCACTGATCTGCTTTCTATTACCATATGTTAGTATTGCCTAGATAGACACAGAGAACAAACCAAGGGTCGCCAGAGGGGAAGGGGGTTAGGGAGCTTGGGGAAAAAGGTGAAGTGATTAAGGAATAAAAAT